GCGACCAGATGCTGCCTCCTGCGCGTTCGATCACTTGTTGGGTGTTGGAGAGATGGCGCGATCGGATGCATAGGGCTCGCGTTAGGTGGTGCGTGACGTACGCTGATGTCACCCTGGCTTGCGCGCAAGGGAACAGTGAGAGGACCGAACGATGGGGTGCGTCAGGTCGATGTTGACCTGACCTGTCTGGTCACTAATTTTTGTGCTCTAGAACCTTATTGGATCTGACCGGACTCAGCTTCATGTGGTGGAGGACCACGCCCGGTCAATCGTTAACAGTGTGAGTGATCAGAGTTTTGACCGTTGAGATCCGATGGCTGGGATTTGAATCATGGACACGTGGTGTGATCCACGCGACGGGACGCTAGCACGGGCACGTCCGGTCCGTACGTAGAGGGCACCCTTTGACTCTAACGGCTCTATTTGTTTTGGGACATCTATAGATAGTGTTTGGCCGGCTCCAAGGCATCTCTCTTGGCACTTTGACATACTTGACATCCTTATGATCCTAAGCAAACACCTCCCACTCATCTTCATCATTGATTCATTATCATAGTGAGATTGGGAGTGATTCCAAGTGCATTTGCTTGAGTGATTGCATCTAGTGGCACTTGGGGATCGTTGTGGCTGCGGATTTCTTATTTCTCTTGGTGGTTGCCGCCACCTAGATGGCTTGGAGCAGCGGAGGAGAATTGGTATGAGTTGGTGATTGTTCGTGGCCATCTTCTGGTGATTGTGAGGGGTCTTATGCCTTCCCCGATAGAGAGCTAAAAGGTAACTCTAGTGGATTGCTCGTGCCATTGAGTTACCTCACTTGTGGGTAGGTTCTTGCGGTGTCCAATTGTGTGGACGAGGTTTGTGCAACACCTCTTAGCCGCCGAACCACCAAGTGTTGGTCGACACAACGGGGACTAGCGTGTCGACAAGCACGTGAACCTCGGGAGAAAAATTGATTGTCTCTTGCCCTTTGGTATTCTCTCGGTGATTGAATTGGTATTCATCTTGTGATTGGTTCACTCCTCTATGCGGCGGTATAATCACTCTACTCACTCATTTATATTCCCGCAAACTAGTTGTAGCAAGCTCTTTAGTGTAGCTAGAATTGAGAGCTTGCTTTGTAGTCTAAGTTCATCTAATGGAGCTCTTTAGTGTAGCAAGTGTGAGAGCTCTTAGTGAGTAGTGACTTAGCCTCTTGTGTGCCTAGTGATCATAGCAACTAGAATTGTTGGATAGGTGGCTTGCAACCCTTATAGAACTAGAGCAAGTTTGTATTTCGCCATTTGTTATTCTAATCAAATTGCTCTAGTGATCTTGTAGATTTTTTTAATAGGCTATTCACCCCCCTCTAGCCATATTAGGACTTTTCAAGTGGTATCAGAGCCGTGGTCACCGTTTGATTCAAGGCTTAACAACCTTTGGGGCAAAATATGGTTCAAATAGTGTTCAACCATGTTGGGGGCAAACCACCATTCTTTGATCGCATATCTTTTGATTATTGGACGAGAAAGATGAAGATGTACCTTGGTTCAATCAATGACAAGGTGTGGGATGTGGTAGAGAATGAGTTTGTGATTCTTGACCCTACCAATCTCACCGACAGTGACAAGATCAACAAACAATACAATACTATGGCACTCAACACAATATACAATTTTGCGCTCTGGAACCTTACTGGATCTGACTAGACTCGGCTTCGCGCGGTGGAGGAGCACATCCAGTCAATCATTAACAGCGTGAGTGATCAGAGTTTTGACCGTTGAGATCCGATGGTTGGGATTTGAATCATGGACACGTGGCGTGATCCACGTGACCGGACTGGCGCGAGCGCGTCCGGTCAGTACGCAGAGGGCACCCCTTTGACTCTAACGGCTCTATTCATTTTGGGACGTCTATAAATAGTGTTTGGCCAGCTCTAGGTCATCTCTCTTGATACTTTGACATACTTGACATCTTTGTGAGCCTAAGCAAACACCTCCCACCTATCTTCATAATTGATTCATCATCATAGTAAGATTGGGAGTGATTCCAAGTGCATTTGCTTGAGTGATTGCATCTAGTGGCACTTGGGATTCTTTGTGGCTGTGGATTTCTTGTTTCTCTTGGTGGTTGCCACCACTAAAATGTGCTAATGGCTAGAGGGGGGTGAATAGCCTATTAAAAATTTCTACAACAACACTAAGACAAATGATTAGTCAATAAGATGGCGAAACGAATTTTGTGCTAGCACTATACTTTGGGTTGCAAGCCACCTATCCAATTCTATTTTATATGATCTCTAGTATATCACAACAAAGCTATGTCACTTATATACACCTAGGTGATCAACCTAGTGAGAGTAATACAATTAAATGATACACTATCTAGTCTTAACTACCACTAGCTCTATCCAAGTGAATGTATAATGAAATACAAGAGAGTGATAGAGAGGTATACTGTTATGGCAAGTGACCAATGAGTGAATACCAAGGAGACAATCAGGACACAATGATTTTTCCTCCGAGGTTCACTTGCTTGCCGGCAAGCCAGTCCCCGTTGTGGCGATTCACTCACTTGGAGGTTTACACGCTAATTGGTATCACACGCCAAACCCTCAATAGGGTGCCGCACAACCAACACAAGATGAGCATCACACAAGCCACGAGCAATTTACTACAATACCTTTTGGCTTTCCACCGGGAAAAGGTCAAGAACCCCTCACAATCACCACGATCGGAGCCGGAGACAATCACCAACCTCCGCCCGACGATCCTCGTTGCTCCAAGTCATCTAGGTGGCGGCAACTACCAAGAGTAATAAGCCAAACCCGCAGCGAAACACGAATACCAAGTGTCTCTAGATACAAACACTCAAGCAATGCACTTGGATTCTCTCCCAATCTCACAAAGATGATGAATCAAAGATGGAGATGAGTGGGAGGGCTTTGGCTAAGCTCACAAGGTTGCTATGTCAATGCAAATAGCCAAGAGAGTGAGCTAGAGCCGGCCAAACGATATTTATAGACACCCCAAACAATAGAGTCGTTGGCTCAATTATTGGGTTGACTGTGGGACGACCGGACGCGCAGGTCATGCGCACCGGACGTGTCCGGTGTGGTGATCGGACGCGTCCGGTTGCTGCGTCCGGTCGCAGCCTAACCGCCATGTGTCCCTTTCAATTTGTTTAGCCTTTGGCACCCAACGACTATCTCTGCGCACAATAATACTACATAATCGGATGCACTGTTAGAAAACGACTGGACCCGAGAGACGCAACGTCTGGTCGAGCGCTAAGTTTATATGGCTTGACGGGGTGATAGACCCATGATCACCCAAATCGAACGGTCAATATTGCGAACTTGCGGGGTCCAACGATTAGCAGGCTAAGGGCAGGTATATTGCTATATGACAGCGGTCTCATAGACTGTCTCATATAGTGCTATATAGGATTTTGGATGATGTGGAAGAGAGAAAAATGAGAGAAAGTCAAGCCGTTGTCTCGTGAAACAACGAGCTCATGTCCGTCATTTTCGCTTGATGAGAGGACTCCCGCTCCATTGTACCCCGAAGTCGTCGTTTCGCTGGATCCGTCGTGGCGCCGCGCCAAATCCCTCCACGCTCCTGTTTCTGGCGCCAAAATCTTCGTCCATGGCGCCAATGCAAGTCATTTTCCTTGTCTCCGTATCTAATTCATCTGCAGACTGCAACTTCCTCTTCCTAATTTCTCTGCTCCCAAAACTCAGCCATCCCTCTCCGACGGCGCTGCCCACGTCGACCGCACGTAGCAGTAGAGCATATGGCGCCCGAGCCTGCCTCGCCTCATCCCATTGGCCCAGGCTACGAGCATGCCCCTTGAACTTTGGTCACCGTCACTGGCACCGGCAGCAGCAGCGGCGACAGCCGCGATCCTAGCAGCGCAAGCCACTCCTGGTTCATTCGACACTTACTCGACATGGCTACCGAAGCCTCCTGCGTTTATGTCCAACTATTCTGCAAGAGGAAAGGTACGTATTCAGTGTTTCCCCATGGTCTAAAGCTCATACCTGAGTGCCTCGAGCTGTTCAATGCAAGAGGAAAGGTACGTATTCAGTGTTTCCCCAGAAAATTACATGAATCACTACAAATTAGTTATGCTTGTCATATGGAAACCATCTACTGCTTGCGATCAACCTTTGCCATCTGTACTGATTGGAACGTTGGGAGTAATTTGGATGCATTTTGAGAGAAAGAATGAACAGATTGCTTAATTCTTTTTTGTGAGGGTTCAGACTGCTTATTTAGGACTATTATTTTAGTTGTTTGCTTTTCCAGTTTGCTTAATAATTTATACAGATATCATATTGCAAGATTTTAGTGTCAACTGATACTGACATCTAATACATGGTAGTCCTGCTCTACTGCCTCTGCTTGCTTTTTTCTCTCTGTTTTTGTTTGTCCCCTGTACTGTGTTTTTACTTAATATATTTGCAGTAGGAGCCCCTGGCTCCTCCTGATTCTTCAAAAAAAAAAAAAAATACATGGTAGTCCTTTGTCTTTCCTTGCTACAAGAAACTGAAAATCAGTTTCCAGATATTTGCTATGCTATGACTACTTGCACTTTAAGTTTTTTTTGGGTAATGTCTACACGACTCAATGACATAAATAAGCTACATAGTTATGATTGTATATAATCCTATCATTCATTTGGTCCATGCATAATTTTAGGAATTTTATGTTACTATCAAACAACTTAAAAGACGACCCATTATATGGGTTGTCGTCTCAAGATTACGTGGCAATTTATGAGACCGTCTAAATAGACGGCACCAATGTACCAGACCTAACGGACTATGTTGCCTGATCCATTGCCCGCGGTTTCTCCTGCTGACTTTGTGTTATATAGATAGAGATGGGCTCAACTTCCAGCATAGCACAAGCCCATCTTCATTCCAAAGCAAACCACCCAGTCCTACTCTAATCTATATACAATATCAGCAAAACTACATCTGATGTTTTCGGAATTCAGTCGATGCTAGGCATTTTCCCCTAGTGGCCTCCGTCCGCTAGACCCATTCCATCGTCCGTGCCTTTACCTCCACAGGACCTTGCAACCGACTCAAAAAGCTTCTCTATCTCAGGAGCACAGTGTGTAAAGGATCGAGTCCAGAAGCTGTAGCGTGGGTTCTGCAAAAACACAGTCCTTTTTTATTCAAGTCACTTATGTTTATGCATTTCGAATAGTCAAGGTAGCATACCTTTATCAGCTCAATGAAAGTAATGAGTAATCCCCAAGGATGAGGCCGGTTGACAATTAACCTTTCCAGAAAAACCCTTGTTATCTGCTCTTGGACAATTTCCTGTGTTTCAATTGATTACTTCGTCAAAAAGAGATTTCATGGATGCAAATGACGCTGAAAAATTCAATTGAAAAGGAGCGAAGGGTCTGGGGGCTTAAATACCTGTGTTGCCTCGGCAAACAAGTACAGAATGATGAAGGAAAAGTAGTGGGTATGGCTATTTGGATAGCGAAGCTGGTTAGCAATCGCATTGAGAATAAGGTAGCGACCTTCTGTGTCCATAGTCATTACAAGGTTTCTGAACATCTCAGTAGCTGTTTCGATTTGGAATATATCCATTTGACTTTGGTTAATTTGTGCTGGTGCTGATGCATTCACCTTGGTTTGCTGCAACTGCTGCACAGCCTGCATTTAAAAATTCTACCAGCTTATAGTCTTGAAATATGCTTAAGTGGCACTCAACTTGATGAAACAAAATACTCTGTCCGGAATGATAAGCGTATTTTGCACAGGAAAAGTCAAATTTTATAAACTTTTACCAACAGATATTCAAATTACATATAAATTTAGGACAAAAAAACTTACTCCCTCAGTTTCAAATTGTAAGTCGTTTTGGCTTTTCGAGATACCAACCCCATCCATTCTAAACTGTAAGTCGATCTGGTTATTCTAGATATATAGCTTTTACTATATATCTAGAAAAGTTAGAACTTGTAATTACTATGTATCTAGACACAGGATATATCTACTTGCATAGCAAAAGCCATGTATCTAGAAAAACCAAAATGCCTTATAATTTGGAACTGATAGTTAAGCCTAGCTGCTTGATCTTACTTTCCTGTTTTTACTATTCACTGTCTAAGTAGTTTCAGGTGTCTTAGCACCTAAGTTAGGCATCTGCTTTATGCAGCAGAATTTGCTAGAGTAGGTAAAGCCACTTTGCTATATAAGCAGTGGCAGACCATCTTGTATTCCAAGTCATTGCAATTTCAGATTCAATCCAAACGGCCTATGGCCAAGCTGCCCTCTGGGCTTTACCAAATCTGAGATCTACTTGTGTTCTTGGGCAACAATTGGTATCTAGAGCCTAGGGTTCTTGCGTGAGCAGAGTGCCATGTCCACCGTTAGCCAAATCGCGAGATCACGTGCTGCTGCTGCCGGTGCCAGGGCTAGCGCCGAAGGAGCCGACGACCGTGCAACGGGCCTTGCTGCCACAGAGGCAGCGGCTGCGGCACAAGCCGCGGTGGCTGCAGCCACGGCGCTGCGTGCTGAGATGGAGCGGGAGGCGAAGCCAGCGGGAGGAGGATCGCGCAGCCTGATCGAGCGCCGCCGCCAGTCGCCGTCACCAGAGCGGCGGCGTGGTCGCCTTGGGCGCTCCCCGGTGCTGCAGACGGTCTACCGCGATGCCGGAGCGGGGACGCCATGGACGATGCTCACCAAGTCAAGCTGCAGGCTCGGCGGTTGTGGGAGGCGGTACACGTCGGCGGCGTTGACTACGACGACGATCGCCGGGCGCTGGAGGCACTATGAGTCGCCGTCCCCACCGAGCTTGGCGCTTCCATCGCCAACAAGGCCACGACGAAGTTGGCGTGGGAATCGATCGCCGCAGCACGCGTCGGCGGAGATCGTGTGCGCCGAGCTACACTGCAGGGCCTCCGTGGGGAGTGGGAAGGCCTCGCCTTTCAGCCTGGTGAGCAAGTCGAGGACTTCGTTGTTCGGCTGACCAACCTGATGGAGCAGATGGCGCACAACGGCGACACCGACCTCACGGAGAAGCGCGCAGTGGAGAAGTTTCTCCGCTGCATGCCGAAGAAGTACGCGCAGATCGTCATGTCGATCGAGACGCTTCTCGACTTCGAGCAGCTCACCGTCGAGGATGTCACCAGGAGGCTCAAGGCGGTGCAGGACCGCGAGCAGGCACCGGACTCCAAGCCAAGCGTTGTCGGGGGCAAGCTGCTGTACACCGCTGAGTAGTGGCATGCCTTCGAGAAGGAGGAAGGCGCCGGATCATCCAAGGACCGTCGTCGGCATCCTCGTGGCGGCAAGAACAAGCCCAAGGGCGATCGCGATGGCGGCGGAGGACAAGCAAACAAGGCAGGCGCCGCCGCCGGAGAACGCAAGGCGAACCGCGACGACATCTGCCTCAACTGCAACCGCGCCGGGCACTGGGCCAGGGATTGCCCCCATCCCGTGAGCGTGAGCGTGGCGGTGCGGCGAATGTCACGGAAGCAGAGGAGGCTGCTCTGTTTCTCGCGCACGGATTCCTGGAACTGGACGCAGAAGGGAGCAGCGGCAAGGCGCAAGCTTCGACCTTCTGCACCGAGTCCGCCGTCGACCTCGACATTGAGAAGCCACGAGCCCCTGTCTTTCTCAACACCGGCTCCGGCGAGGACAAGCTTGACGGTTGGTGCCTCGAGAGTAGCGCCACCCACCACATGACTGGCCGCCACGAGCTGTTCACCGACCTCGACTACAATGTCCGCGGCACGGTGAAGTTCGGCGACGCCTCAAGGGTGGAGATTCAAGGCGTCGGCTCGATCGTCTTCTAAGGCAAGACCGGCGAGCACCGGGTGCTTCACGGCATCTACTACATCCTGGCGCTCCGCAATTCGATCATGAGCCTCGACCAGCTGGATGAAGGCGGTTCAAAGGTGGAGATCGACAAGGGCGTGTTGAGGATCTAGGATCGGCGCGGCCGGCTTTTGGTCAAGGTCCACGGCGCAACGCTTCGCCGCTCATTACGCTTCATTTCGAAGGCAGCTCGCACGCTACGCCGAGCTTGCCAATGATGATGGAGTGGCGATGAAGATGGGCACGCAACGCATGGCCGGGATTTCCACCAAAGGCCTTACCGCATACACGCCTCGACAAGGAGGACATGGATGCGCGACGATGCGCGATGATCGGACCAAGGTGGGAGAGAGTCATCATTGGCGGTGGAAGAGTTCTTTCCGATCGACTGAAGATGGTCTCGAGAAGATGGGGAGCACAAGGTGTGAGCTTGTCCCGGGCATCACCTTTCTGGCCCGTGACGCCGGCGATTTCGCGGCGCTTCACATTCTGTTGGTGGGAGCTCAGGACTGACGTACATGTAGTTGGCACTCCACGGCGACCAAGGGCGCCGCTGCGGGCGCCAATCGCTGCCATTCAAGAAAAGGGGCGGAGAAGGGAGAGCCATGGCATAAGCCCGGTGCTGCGCGCGACCGACAAACGGCCGAGTACACCACGCGCGGAGTTCGCCGATCACTACGTGGATGATGAAGAATCAACGCCACGCTATCTGCCCCTTTGGAGGACTTCGGCGATGACAGGCGTTTGACGAAGGTATCAGCGGACGTGGTGGCCATGGCGCGCTGCCGCTTTGCCGGGTTAACGTGGAATGCCAACCACCATATGCGGGGCGGTGATGACTACAATTCATCTGAGGCAAGACTTGCCGATGAAGAGCTTGCAAGGCAAGACCCGTGCAGGCGTGGCATGAAGGCCGCATCATGGAGAAGAACAAGACACGACGCGTTCGGTTGCCTCGCCTTCGCCAAGGAGCTGAACCAAGTGAAGAAGCTCGATGATCGCAGCCGGCACGGGGATTTCATCAGGTTTGCCAAGGGCACCAAGGCATACCGCGTCCTCGACCCGGAGTCCCAGCGCGCGCGTGGGATGCGCGACGTAGTCTTCGTCGAAGGACGCGGCTGGGACTGGACCAAGGTGGGAGAGAGCTCGGCATTGGCGGTGGAAGAGTTCACCGTCGACTCACGTATGCTGAGGCACCGCACGAGAAGAAGTGGGGGAGCACGCCAAGGTGACTCCATCGACGGTGAGGCGGCGGGCATCAACAACGCCAACGCGTCCCGGCTCTCGCCACGCGGCCACCGTCACCGGGCGCCGAGACTGGAAGAGCTGAGAAGTGCAAGGCGAGATGGCGGAAGTTGGCAAGCCACCTGCCTCTCCCCCGCTTCACCTGTGGCGCCATCCAGATGCGGCATCACCGCTTCCCCCCGCAGCTGCTACGCCGCCGCCGATCAACCTCGGTCGAGTACACACACGCCAATGGGAGGACGATGAGGACCGACTTTGGGCGCGCTTTCGACGATGATTCGGCGAACCTCTTCGCTATCGTGACGATGAGTCCAACATCAGCGGCCACGGACTCCACCGTGAAGCGGTTCTCCGCTACGCTGTGACCCTCTTCACGGTACGCACGACAAGACGCGCCACCGACGAGCCACACCGCCGGCCGACTCGAGGCGCATGGCGATCCGCAGCATTGGCAAGCGAGCGATGAAGCAAGAGCTCCGATCGTGGCTGAAGAACAAGACACAGGAGAGTTGTTGATGTCGACTCGCGAGGCGATCATCGCCACCATCACCACGAAAATGGGTCTTCGGGGAGCTTCAAGAAAGACGAGGTGGAGGAAGGTGACAAGAAGCTTGGCTACTCCGGCAAGAATTGGTCTTGGTGATGAGCAAACACAGTTTTGGATCAAGAAGAAGGCATCGACTATGAGGACGCTGCTTTTGCAGCCGATCGCGCGAGAGAGTCGGTCCGTGTCTTCTCATTTGGCAGCCCCAAGAAGGATGGCGTGAGATGAGGTGCACCACATGGAAGAAGTCCGCGTTCCTCTAGTTGCTTGTATCTTACTTTCTGGTGACCTCAAGGAAAAGGTGTGTGTCTTAGCACCAGTTAGGCATCCGCTGGCTTCATATGCTAGAGTAGGGAGAAGCCAAGCTATATAACAAGGTGTACGCACCATCTTGTATTCAAGTCATTGCAATTTCAGATTCAATCAAAGCGGCCTAACATGCCGCTCTTTGGCTTTACTAAATCGAGATCTACTTGTGTTCTTGCGCAACAGGGAACAAAGAGATCATATCGAAGGCGTAGTTGGGACGCCACTCAAGGCTATGGGCTTTAAGTCCAAAAGGGGTAGGCTAGAGTTGCGCCAATAAACAATCAAGGCGGCGCGGAATAGGCGGCGTCTTCCAAGCATTCCTATCTAAGGGGGGTATATTCCATCCTTTCAAGTCTCCTTTTGAGCGCTTACCCAAGTCGGCTCCTTCGCCTCTCTTTCACGTTTCTATCCGACTTCGATTCCATCACCGCAAATCCGGGCGCCGAGGAAGAAGAGGTGAGAAGTTCAAGCGCAGATGAAGAAGTTCGACATGAGCGACCTCGGCCTCTCTCGCTTCTACCTTGGCGCCGAGTGCGCCAGGATGCGCCGCATCACCCTCTGTCGAGCTCACATTCATACAACATAGCATCCTCTAGCTCACGATTTGCCTTTTAACCGGGTGGGTACCTTTTGTCACATAGGACACAGACGCTAAAATCACCACGCCAATGGGATCTTCATCAATATCTCCGGCTCTATAGCATTGATCCTAAATATGAAGGAGGACTCCATCCTACTCACTTGCTTCCAAACTAACATCTTCCTCCTCCCGAGTAGTTCTCCCATCTCATATACTGGTGCAGTTCACCGTCCGGACTTAGCAAAGTCTCGCACGCCATAACTCCAGTTTTTGATTCGTGAGTCGGCTTTCACGAGCGCCCACGGTGGAGCACCTGCATGTCCGTGTAAGCGTGTTCTCCGCCACGTGGCTAAGGGGACGGACTACCTATGATGCACTCCACAAGAGGGCTCCCATTGACGCATGACACATGAGCCCCGACGCTCCGCATCACTTATGCGCCAAACAAAGATGAACATTCGCGCCGGCGACATTGACACAAGCAAGAGCACCATAACTTGTGGAACTATGTTCTTCCTTGGACGCTTGATCACCGGTAGTCCATCAAGCGCTCATCAAGGTTGTTTAATTTGTGAAAATATCCCTTTATTCTTGTAGAGTACCAACATACTTCTTCTCCACCATCGTGCATCTTGCAGCAACACATGTTGAACAACTTGGTCAACTGTGGCAGCCTATGTCAAGGTTGCTCGGGAGCTTCTTGGGATAAAGGTTGATGTGGTGGAGTTGAAGGTGGACCTCGATTCTTGGATTCTCCAACAAAGCGCCTAGTCATCAAAAGAGTCATCCAACTGAAAGGTTGTGTCCATTCTCAGAATTGAACAATTTGTCAAAATATGAGGAGCGGAACACATCCCGGATCAAGTAGCACTTCATCCTTAATGCACTGCTTGGAGGAAGGGAGCATTAAGGCCAACCAGCCATCCTATAAATGTCCTTCTCCTTCCTTCTGAGACTTAGCTTGCTTTGACTTACTATACTCACCAAGTCGCTGGATAAGACTAAGACCAAGTTCCAGGAGATGAGGAGGATAGGTCTCGCGTCCCTGCTAAGCAGATCCCTACCCAGCACTAGGCTTAGGGGATCGATCTATAGCATTCTTTCTTCTCCACTAGCTTAGGGGGGACTTCTTAGTTCCACCACCAAGTGCTTGTATCTTACTTTCCTTCCTTTACTATTCACTGTCTAAGTAGTTTCAGGTGTCTTAGCACCCAAGTTTAGGCATCTGCTTTATGCAGCAGAATATGCTAGAGTAGGTAAAGCTTCCACCACTTTGCTATATAAGCAATGGCAGACCATCTTGTATTCCAAGTCATTGCAATTTCAGATTCAATCAAAGCGTTTGCCTATGAGGACAAAGTCAGCTGCCTCTGGGCTTTACCAAATCTGAGATCTACTTGTGTTCTTGGGCAACAGGAACAAAGAGATCATATCGATAGATTTGTACTCAAAGTGCCTCTCAGATGATATTTATTATTTAACAAATGATAATTATAATAAGAGAAATTAATGGTCGAAATTTATTTCATGACTTTTTCCTGATCTTGATCGCAAAAAAAAAGAGACTTTTTCCTCATCAAAATATGCTTATCATTTGAGGATGGAGGGAGTAGTACAATTTTGGCATGTCATAAATTCAGGGAACCAAAAAAAGTAACAGGAAGAAATTAACCATAACCGAGAATGACTGCTAAATTAACTAATCATTGCACTTGCACTTACTTGACAACAAATACAGAAAAATGGAAATATGCGCATAGTTTGTATAATACCAAGAGTGACATGATAGATGATATGGTAAAGTTCAATTTGTTTGCTTGCTTGTAGGATAATAAATACTGGCGAAAAAGTAACTATTACCTACAACAAAATATATTAAAAAAGAAACATGATAAGCAAACAAAGGCTTTCACAGCTGACCTGCATGCCAACGTAAAGGACAAGTGAATTAACTAGAGGAACATTGTAACGAGTCCCAGCAATGTTTGCTTCATTTTGTGTTAACAACAACTTCTGCTTTAGATCAGTCAAAAAGAGGGAACCTTCTGGTCTCTGCACAGATGCAAATGAGAGAACATAATGTTATCTACTCCATCCTTTTAATTAGAAAAACAAACATTCTGACGAATGCTGATCAGTTTAGGGAAGGCTTCTAGCACTATCCACTAAAATTAGATAATTTTGAAGGTGTCTTTATCGGCCTTGCACCAGTGAGATAAAGAAGCATGATAAGCACATATAAAACACAACAGTACAGATTGTTGCCATTCACCTTTAGGTATTCATCAATCTGAGTCTTCATTTGCTTTGCCTTCAAAGCACCATCCACATCAGTCATGATTCGAGGAACTATTGAAATTTCCGCTAGCAGATCAATCTATGTTACAAGAAAGAATTGGATTGATCAGACATCTATAAGCATATGATTAGAGGAATGGAAGCACAAAATCTTCACAAGTGGCAAATACCTTTAGGTTAGGAGTGGACGGATCTGGAAGTCTCATATTACGTGGGAAAGCACTAAGAATAACATTACGCATTTGAATGCAGCTTGGGGGAATCACATCACAGAAACTGAAGTGATAGTCACAAAGAAATTCAGGGAAGTCATGCAATAGCACAAGTAGCACTCTTAACGTTCCTTTGTACAAAAGGAGAATCTGCAAAAGAACGAAGAAAATCAGACTGCAGCAAATAATATTCGGACATGTATAACTTAAAATGCAGAAACAAAACTTACAGGTTGTCCCAATTCAGCATTTCTTAGGTATGGCTCCATGAATTTGAACAAATCAACGAGCAACCTCTGGAAAAATGGCCAGCCTTTTTGCAAATTGCACATCAATAACTTTGGCATGAAGCATCGGTGGCTCACCAATTCAAGCCAGGCAAAACTATATGGAAAATGTAATTAGTTAACAAGCAATAAAACAGTATATCATGCAACCATGTAATTTCTTCAAAAACTAATTGGCATTTCTTCAAGACCAGAGTGCAAAGAAATAGATGTTGAAGTGACATTACACATTTAAAAAAAAAAATCTGACATTAGGCATTGGAAAATATTAGTGCCAATGAAACATGCAATGAATTTGTTCAACAAAAAGGAAAGTATTGAACATCAAAGCAAGTAGGAAGTCAAAGATTTCAGGAAATTGCCAAGTGGGATCAAAACAATATACAAACCTCCAAGCAGGAACTCTCAAGGGTTGCAGAATATGAAGTGCATTTGCAAACGTACTCAAAACCTGGCAAACATGTGTCAGATACCAGATAAGTAGTCCAAAAAGTTTTGGATATGTGAAACTGCTCCAACATATATAAAATTAGGACATGTACGTGCCAATTTAACATGTGTACCTGAAAATTAGCGCCATCATGGTGAAAGTCAGAAGAAGTAAGCTCACTTAACCAATTTATAAACAAACGGAAATATGGCCGAGGATTGAAAGAAAGATTCTTTTCTTCAGCATCTTTCTGAATGATCCTAGCTGTCACAGAGAAAATCTGCACACAACAATTAAGGGAGCCTTTTAAGCAAATACCAAACATATATCCTCAGAGCATTCTGAATTCAGGTAACCACTGACCTTATGGAGAAGACTGCCTTTATTTTGTCCCAAATCCACTGACTGCAGAAAGAACACAATTATTAAATATTAACAGGAAGTACTATTAGCAATAAAATTATGTTTTCCACATCAAATTTACCCTTCCTCAGCGATTAAAAAAACTTTTGCTGTAAAATCAACTATAAAACATGTTATGTGCAATTATTTAGTGAATAAATAACTCAAACAGTCATTTAATCTATAAAGCAATTACAAGATGTAACTAAAACTAAAACAACCTAATCCAGGAAGGCAGTTAAGTACAGAGGAAGGGATGTCCTATGACCCCACAACCAGACTTGAATAGTTCACAATCCATTTTCTTCAAACAAGTCAAGATTAAACATGAAATTTTGTGGATTCTTTCCAAAAGAAAAAGGAATTCACATGAGAACTTTTCCCATATATCCACACTTCACTATTCATATGAAATTTGAGTTCACATGTATTAGGCAGGTCTATGTGTGATTAGCTATAATTAGCACCTGCTATGTATACTTGATTGTATTCCTTGTATACCCAGCCATATTGGCTATATATATGAAGGTCACCCCCCCATATTGGGTGTGAGGTGTGTCTCTACATGGTATCAGCCGATTAGATCCTATTCTCCCGGTCTTTCCCTCCACCTCGCGACTCCTTCCGTGAACGCGCAGCCACCTCCCCCCACGCGCAAGACTTCCTCTCGCCCGTCCTCCCTCTCTCCTCTCCCATGGACACCTCGGCCTCCTCCTCCTCGGCCACCAGTGCCGGCACCCTGCCCGCGACAGGCACTCCCACCATGCCTGCCATGAACGCCGGTGCTGTTGCCCCAATCGTGGCTCACAACTACGCCACAGTCAATGTCAAGTCCCACATCCCATTTACACTGGACCTTCAATTCAACTACTCCAAGTGGGCGTTCTTCAAGTCGTTGTGCAGCAAGTTCGGCCTTCGCTCGCACATCGACGGCTCTGCTCCCCCTCGACCTGATGATCCTCAGTGGGATGCCCTTGAGAGTTTGCGTCCGGCTGGATCTCGGCTCGTCGATCGACTCCGTCCTCGACCTCGCCATGGACGGTGCCGATCCAACCGCCCGTGATCTGTGGGTGGCCACTGAAGGGATCTTCCGCGCCAACCGGGAGCCGCGCACCATCTTCCTCCTCAACAAATTTCACTCCATGGTGCAAGGTGACAGCACCATATCGGCGTACTGCCAGCGGCTGAAGATCAAGGCCGCCGCTCTTCGCGACGTCGGCCATCCTGTCCAGGACTCGCAGCTCGTCCTCGCCCTTCTGCGTGGCCTCAATCCTCACTTCTCCAACACCGCCGACGACATCGCCAACTCCACTGTACTTCCCACATTCGCCAGAGCCCATGACATGCTGGCACTAAAGGAGCTCCGTCTCGCCAACGACGAAAAGACGGTGCCGCCAAGATCGCCTCCTCGCCATCGGGTTGGTTTTTGCACCGGCCCCGGCGGGTGCCGTGCTTCGCCGCCATGACCAACTCGAGGTCCACACAACCCACACGTGACCGGCTCACGGGCAACAAATAAGGGCGGCGGTGGTGGCAACAGAAGCGGCAAAGAAGGGCAAGGGCAAGGACGGACGTGTGAATGGGCAATGACTCACAAGTGAAGAATGGTGGCGGCGTGAGCGGCCGCCAATATCCGACCCATGGGCTGGGCCCCTGGATTTGCTATAATCCATGGGCGCCACAGGGCCCTCCTTTGGCTCAGCAGGGCGGCTGGCGCCCAGGGGTGCTTTGCCCCTCCTCCTCAGGCTCACACGGCCTTCGCACCTACGCAGCCCCCGACGACATTTGCGCCGCTCCACGTCTCCCAACAGGCTCCCATGTGGAACCAGGATGGTCTTGTCGCTGCACTCAATCAGATGCATCTCCAGGGCCAGCATCCCTGGGTCCTGGATTCCGGCGCCTCCTCCCACATGAGCTCCTCGGATGATATACTCCTTTCTCGCCATCCTCCTCACTCTTCCATTACCGTTGGCAATGGTCAAACTCTTCCTATTTCATGTCGTGGCGAGTCTGTTCTTCACACACCGGAGTCAAATTTTCATCTAAATAATGTCTTAGTTGTCCCATCTCTAGTCTGCAATCTGCTATCTGTCCGTCAATTTACTGGGGACAACAACTGCTCTATAGAATTTGACGCTCTTGGTTTTTCTGTCAAGGATATCCCAACCCGACGCGTGATGCTTCGCTGCAATAGTGCTGGTGATCTTTACACCTTCCATGCTGCGTCTTCCGCTCCACACGCCAGCATTGCCATCTCCACCGACCTCTGGCATCACCGTCTTGGTCATCCCAGCTCCGCCACCATTGACATTCTTCGTCGTAATGCGTCCATCACCTGTAATAAAGTAGAGCAACTGCTATGTCATTCTTGTCAGCTTGGCAAACATGTGCGCCTACCTTTTTCAGATTCCAGTTCATATACTTCTATGCCTTTTGAACTTGTTCACTATGATGTACCCCGGTTGCCAGTGTATCCGGGTATCAATATTATCTCGTCTTACTTGATGATTTCACTCATTTCTATTGGACCTTTCCCCTCACTCGCAAATCTAAAGTCTCCACATATTGCAAATTTTTGCAATTATGTCCACACTCAATTCAGCCTTGCCATCAAAGTTGTCCAAGCCGACAACGGCACTGAGTTCATAAACAATACCCTCCATACTCTCTTTGCTTCCCGTGGTATTCATTTACGCCTCTCGTGTCCATATACCTCCCCACAAAATGGCAAGGCTGAACGCCTTCTTCGCACATTGAACAACATCAGCCGCACGATGCTCCTCCATGCACACATGCCTGCTCAGTACTGGGCTGAGGCGCTCGCCACAGCCACATACCTTCTGAACAGGCGTCCATGCTCTGTTGTTCGCCACAGCATTCCATATACTCTCCTCCACAACAAACCTCCCGAGTACTCCCACTTACGTGTCTTTGGGTGCCTCTGTTATCCGAACTTGACCGCCACGGCTCGCCACAAACTCTCCCCTCGCTCCACAGCTTGTGTTTTTCTCGGCTATCCCTCTTCCCACAAGGGGTACCGCTGCCTCGACATGGCCACTAAGCGCGTCATCATCTCTCGCCATGTGGTCTTCGATGAGACTTGTTTTCCCTTCGGGCTTTACCCCTCCAGGTCCTCGCCAAGCGACCTGGATTTTTTGCTTGCAGGTACTACTGTGCCGGTGCGTCCTGCATCTTTGCCCTCTGTTGCAGGACAGTCACACCAAGGATTCATTGAGGAGCTGACCGACGACCAAGCGATCTTGTTTCACGGCCCCGTACTGCCTGCTGCTCCACTAGCAGCCGATCCACCACCTGCTGCTCCTCCAGCGGCTGTCCCGGCTCCAGCTGCTCCTCCAGCGGCTGCCCCGGCTCCAGCTGTTGTTCACGCCGCTCCACCAGCTCGGGACATCCGGCTTGTCTACAGCCGGCGTCCCCAGGCGCATGACGGGTCCTCTACAGCACCAGGATCAGCTCCTGCACCTGTTCAGCAGCCTCCTGCCCCTGTACAGCAGGCTACTGCTCCGGTACAGCAGGCTACTGCTCCTGTACAGCAGCCATAGGTGCCCGCAGCTCCACCAGCACCTCCCGTACAGCAGGAACGACGCATCACGCGGACCCAGTCCGGGGCCATACCGGTTATGCGGTATGTGGGGCTCTCTGCGACAACCACTCTGTCTCCACTTCCCGCCAACTACCGTACGGTTTGGCTGATCCAAACTGGCATGCGGCCATGGCTGAGGAGTACAAGGCGCTCATCGACAACGGGACATGGCGCCTCGTGCCCCGGCCACCCGGCGCCAACGTGGTCATAGGCAAATGGATATTCAAGCACAAGTACCAGTTCGTGGCTTCTCCTAGCGCCACGGCATCGACTACGACGAGACATTCAGCCCGGTGGTCAAATCAGCAACCATCCGGGCTGTCCTCAGCATTGCTGCCTCATGCGCCTGGCCTATTCATCAGCTAGACGTCAAGAACGCCTTTCTCCATGGACATCTGGAGGAGACCGTCTACTGCCAGCAGCCCCTAGGCTTCGTCGACCCTGTTTTTCCTGATCATGTGTGTCTGTTGCAGCGCTCCCTCTACGGCCTGAAGCAGGCTCCCCGAGCCTGGTACCAGCGTTTTGCAACATACATTCGCCAGCTCGGCTTCGTCGCCTCAACTTCCGACACCTCCCTCTTTGTCTACAAAGATGGGACTAGTATCGCCTACTTGCTTCTATACGTCGACGACATCGTCCTTACTGTGTCCTCGACGGCATTTCTACAGCAGATCATTGGGCGCCTCCACTCTGAGTTTGCCATGACTGACCTGGGCGCACATCACTTCCTCGGCATCTCCGTCACTCGCTCCACCGATGGCTTGTTCTTATCACAGCGACAGTACGCCGATGAGCTTCTTCAACGCGCCGGCATGGCTGAGTGTCACTCTACGACGACACCTGTTGACACTCATGCCAAGCTATCCACCACCGCCGGTGCCCCTGTTGCTGATCCGTCCGCGTACTGGAGCCTTGATGGCGCGCTCCAGTACCTCACACTGACTCGTCTTGACTTGGCATACGCCGTCCAACAGGTGTGCCTCTTCATGCATGATCCCCGCGAGCCGCACCTCTTGATGATCAAGCGGATTCTACGATACCTAAAGGGCACTCTCTCCTCCGGCCTCCACATTGGTGTCGGCCCTGTTCAGTCACTGGTCGCCTACTCCGATGCCGACTGGGCTGGCTGCCCAGATTCTCGGCGCTACACCTCCGGCTATTGTGTCTACCTCGGCGACAATCTGATTTCTTGGTCCTCCAAGCGTCAGACCACGGTATCGCGCTCCAGTGCAGAAGCAGAGTACCGTGCTATTGCTCATGTGGTGGCCGAGTGTTGCTGGCTGCGCCAGCTCCTGCAGGAGCTCCACATCTCCATTGCTTCGGCGACGGTTGTCTACTGCGACAATGTCAGCGTTGTCTACATGATAACCAACCCCGTTCATCATCGTCGCACGAAGCACATTAAGATTGATATTCACTTCGTTCGTGAGAAGGTCGCCTTGGGACAAGTTCGGGTTCTTCATGTGCCGTCTTCTCACCAGTTCGCAGACATCATGACCAAGGGCCTTCCTGTTCAGCTATTTACTGAATTCAGGTCCAGTCTATGCGTCCGGGATCCTCCCGCTTAGACTGCGGGCGGGTATTAGGCAGGTCTATGTGTGATTAGCTATAATTAGCACCTGCTATGTATACTTGATTGTATTCCTTGTATACCCAGCCATATTGGCTATATATATGAAGGTCACCCCCCCATATTGGGTGTGAGGTGTGTCTCTACAACATGTGACATTTTGACTGTTAAAAAAATTAGCAGTGGTCCATTTACCTGTTTTTTACAGGTCACACTAACAGTTCAACTGTTCAAAAAAGTATTAAGTTTAGCATGCTGCTAGCAAGGCCCAACAAATCAAACAGAATGTTCAAGCTGACTGCTGACTGGACCCTAATAGTGAACTCGACATATATGCAGATGAACTTGAATTGACCGTAACTATGAGCTTCGTTTAAGCCTCCTAAAAGGAAATGAAAGGCCTTAGCCCTCAACAGGTTCCCCGGGACTCTCAGCAAAACACACACATAAATAGTAGTTGGTGCAGCCAAATGGTTGCAGGTTTTTGCCGATTTTTCTTCATTATATAGACAGCCAAGAGCTACAAATAAAGGCTGAGAATACCTCCTATTTAATGCACAAATTAACTACTATAATCTGCCTACTAATCCCATTACTCTATGCTCAAATTTAGCTACTACTAAAGACTATGCACCTAGACACAGGATTATTTCCAACAGGAAATATTATGCACATGAAGTCTCATTTGCCTATAATCGAGGATAACCAATGCACAGAAACCTACACTCCAAAAGTTATGAGCACACAAATAGAACAGAGTTGAATATACCTTGACAACTGAAGTCACAAGTTTTGAATATGAGTCAATTGAAAAATAAGAAATCTGATGTTGCTGGGATGACTGCGGAGATAGTCCACTAGGAGCAATAGCTTGCTCAGACACTATAGCGTGTGCGATAGCAAGTTCCTGGACAATTTTATAACATCAGAACTCAAGTATCATGTGGATCAGTAAAATATAGAAGAGTAAAAGAATTACCGTTAGACTAAAGAAAAAATGGTCAGTCAAATCATCTCCCTTTAGCAAGCCATTCTGTTGCAACTGCACAATGTGATGACTATATACTGAATCACCGGTGGTGGGATGGTCACATATTTGACACCATTCAGAAAACAAGACCGCAACCTGTGCACCAATGAATTAGCATATTAGCTCTCCAGTATAGTAAAAGAACTAGGTTCAGTGGAGAGTACTGTAGGGAGTATCCTAATTAAACCTGTGTCAGGCAACCAAAACTAGAATTATTACACCAAACAACAGAACATCAAAAAAGCATACATACACCAATATATTTATGGTATTTACCATCTTGATTACAAAACAGTAGCAGTAATAAACAATGAACTATTAAATTTTTTATGTACTTGAAAAATACCACAAAGGCTCACTAAACTACATTACGGATTCAGTGTATTCTTGCAACACCTTTAATAAAAGCAAGACACTTTTTGATGCAACATCATAAACAAAGTCTTGGGGAAAAAATGAATTTTGCCTCATTTTCAAAGAAAAGATAGTTAAATGTGTTTCATAAACCTTGTCCTGAAAATCAGCAGCATTAGCAAAAGCAATGCCATCAGCATTATCTTCTTCATTATTCATCGAAGGTTGACCAGATACAACCTATCACCATTCAGGAGCAATTTTACCAAAGTCAGAAAGGGCATACATTCTATGGACATCAGTAACCATTTATCAATATTCAGACCTTTTTATCCCTTGATTGAATAACCTTTTCATCCTTTGAAGCAGCGTAATTAGTACTGCTGTTCAAGGTACTCCTTGCAACTTCAACCAATTGCTGCAATGAATCAGGTGACCCAGGCCTGATTGCAAGCTGTAACACAGCAAACATTACCATTACTCGCAAGCCAACTAGGAGACGAGGGAAACATAAAATATACACTCCAAATACCTTCGATAAGGCATCAACAACATTAAAAAGCTCGGAGACGCTATTGGATTCTTGGGTAACCAATGTCTTGATGAGTGATATAGCAAATTCTGTTGCCGTCTCTGAGGACAAGCAAATACAGTCCACACTCAGTGATCAGAATATTAAAAAGTATTACATTGCTTAATGAGTTTAGAGGTGAACTAAACAAGATACATTGCTTAATGAGTTTAGAGGCGCAACTAATCGGGAGGCGACGGGCTTCGCCTGGCCTACGGGGGTAGGCGGACCCTTAGGCGGGCGCAGCGCCTCGGTGGCGCAAGACGGCGCCTCGGCGGCGATTTGGCGGTGCGCAGGCGCTCTAGGCGGCGTGGAGGCGGACGCCTCGGGCGAGCGCGCGCGCGTAGCTGGCTTCGGGCGGGGGAAAAGAAGCCTCGCGCGGGAAGGATAAGAGGGAGAAGGGGGGAAAAGGACACGCGCCTGCCTGCTTCGTGCTTCTCCCGCTCTTAGACGGCCGCTGCCGCTCACCCGCCTCCGCCTGCGACCCCTCCGGGAAGCTGCTCCCAACGGCCGCACTCCTCCCTGCCGGCGCCGGGCAGGTGGATCCGCAGGCCGCACTCTTCCCCGTCTGGAAGCTCCTCCCCGTGGCCCGTCCCTAAGCTCCTCCGCGCCGGTCGCACTGCTCCCCACCTGCAAGCACCTCCCCGCCGGTCTCGTCTTCCCGTCGGCGCACCCCACCCGCAGGCGCATCCCTCCTCGACGGTGTCCTTCGGTCCTCCCTAAGCAGCAGCCCCAAGGTCAGTCCCCTCCCCTGCTCACTGCTCCCCTCCCCTGCTCTGAAGCTGAATACTCTGGATGCCTGAATGCTCTGAATGACTACTCTGAATTCCTGAATGTTAGAGAGCCTGATCTGTGCTCTGAATCTGAATGTATGCCTAGCGAACACTGAGGGAGCGAATCTCCTGAGAAGGAATTCGGATGATGTGGGATGGGAATATGGGGTTCTTGTTGATGCTAACAACAAGGACAAGATGAGAACTATGTGGTTTCTGAACAAGACCTTTATGAATTGTGTTGTGCACTTGTACTGCTGTCCTGTCCACTTGTTTGTGCTTTAAAATTTGTAATTACTAGTTGCTGATATGGTTTGTTCATGCATGGGACATGGCTGAAATCATTCAAATAAGTGTCAACTTGCTATTTTCTATTTTTTTGATGAATTGCTTGCTGTCTATTGAGTATTTACAAGCTGTCAATCCTTGTTGTAGGAACTAGGAACAAGTTGTCTATTGATTATTGAGCCTAAGCCAGTAAGCCACTAAGGTATGTCTACTGCCCTCTCTTTTATATACTGTATTCAGCTCCTCTATGCTTCTATTTAACTAATTTATTCAGCATTTTCTGCTAAATTGGCACACAACATATATATATATATATATATAGGACGAGGCTAAAATGCACCTGGGTGCATTCTGGATAACAAATGCACCCAAATCATGAAGCCGAGACGCGAGACGCTGGGAGCGAGCGAGCTTGAGCTGCATCTGGCGTGTGAGTCCGACCGGTTGACCAGCGCTACCAGATATCCCGAGACCCACACCAGATACAGCCCCGTCATGCGCCCCCCACGGTAGAGCCGGTTGCAACTCATCCTTCAACCGATTGCAACTTCTTCCGTCAGACACAAATTGCAACCTTGGTGGTAGGCCGATTTAATCGCCTTCGATTTATTTGGTTGCAAAGACCGCTTGTATACCAGTTGCAACTCATCACTTCAACCGATTGCAACTTCCGTCGTACACAAATTGCAACCTTGGTGGTAGGCCAGTTGCAACTGCCCTGGACGGCTGGTTGCAGCTCCGTTTGTATACAAGTTCCAACTCAGCCCGTCAGCCGATTGCAACTTGAGTCGTACACAAATTGCAACACATCCCTTCAACCGATTGCAACTTCCGTCGTACACAAATTGCAACTCGTTCGCACGCTCGTTGTGTGCCTGCCTCGTTGCCTGGTGGGGCGGTGTTGGCGTGGGAGAGGGTAGAGGTGTGTGGCCCGCACCTGATTAGTGGGTTAGTTGGGCTGGTTGCCCAGAAAAGACACGCCGGTTGGCCTGGGTGCATTCTGTACACAGAATGCACCCAGGTGCAATATAGCAAAACAGTATATATATATATATATATATATATATATATATATATATATATATATGTTGTGTGTTAAATTGGCAAAACGCCTAGGCTGGCCTAGGCGCTAGGCTATGGGTCAGCGCCTAGCGCCTTCTTGAACTTTGATGCAAGGTCAATCAAGCTAAGCAAGTAGAACTCAAGCAAGCACAAGGGAGCTCCTACACATACTAGTGAGCAAAAGAACACTAACTACAAACTACACTAGCACAAGAACAACTAAACTTAGTGCTAAAGGTGTTGATGGTCTTGCATGACACCACTTGGGAGTTAGCCTTGTGTGGAAATTGATGACAAAGGGGGAGAAGATGGACACAGAGATATCATGAAGAGCAAGATTAGAGAATAGAAGGGGATCAAATTTTTGGAAACCACACAAGTAGGGGTGGCAAGCTCATGAACCTTTGTTATAAGGGCCTAGCTAACGAGCATAGCACTGCCCATAACAGCTACTCATTATGCAAGGTGTTTTTGTTTTCATTCTTGAATTCTACATACAGAAGGAATAAGTTCTGTTTTGACTTACTGTTTCTTCCACCATCTATAAGCTTTGCCAAATGAGCATCATACTCCCCAAGATTAAGCAGAGCATAACTAATAAGTCCAATAACTATCTCCAAGTTAAATTTCTTCTCTTCATCTGAATATATTATCTGCACAGGAAGTCCAATTAATAATAAACAAAAAATACATAAATAAATTGCAACAAGTCTAAATAAACATGGCACCAGACAATTCTACTTTGCAGAACAAGAAAAGTGTGCTCTCGAAGTCACTAGACGTATAGAAACATGCCACTTGCTCCCAGATCCAAAGATGTCATGTGTGTTGGTATGATCATGTATGCAAGATTGCAACTATATCAGCCAGAAGAGGACGAGGGAAACTGAAAGTGTCTAGAAGGTGATTGTGGATGGCACATGGATCATCTTAGTTATCCAGAGCAGTCTGTTGGATTCACAGTGCTGACGCCTAGGCATCCATAACTCACTATAAAACCGAAAAGGGCAAAGTGACTAGCTTGCACATTTAGGGACTTAGGGTTCTGCTAGTTAATATGTTCGATTCCTTAATGTTGGCTAAAAACAGCATTTTTAGGTCTAATTGCTGGATGTTGGCCTAGGATGTACTAGAACAACATTGTACTACATCCGTTCCAAATTATAAGTCGCTTTGACTTTTTTGGTACATCCATTTTGCTATACATCTAGATATAATAATATGTCTAGATACATAGCAAAATGGATAAACTAAAAAAGTCAAAGTGGCTTATAATTTGGAACAGAGGGAGTAGATCTAATCGTTGTTCTGTAGAACTCACCTTTTAGCTTCTGTGGCACCTCCAGCCACAGAAAATTCCAGATACTTAGCACCCTTTCACCCACCCCACTTTAATCTACGCTAACAGCTTCATCGATTACCCCACCTTTCTGTAGCATTAGCCCCAAATATCAAAGGGTATCTTGCTTGGGCACTACCTGACCCTCCAAACTAATGCCTCCCTCATGTCTAGTATCAATGAAGTGGAAACTAATGTCACAAGACAATGTCCTCGATATGCGACTGCTGAGGTCCCCCTCACCATCGACACATGACCGCCGCCACCTCCATCTCAGCTTCAAGATCCAGTACAGGTCAGCTCCAAGATCCAGTTCAAGTTCCTCTCCTAGATCTGCTGATTCTTACCTGAGGCCATTGTGTCAATTCTATCGTACTTGTTTTCATAGATTGGAGATGGTAGTAGTATGTTATCAAGATGAATTGGCCTGAATCGCACAAGAAAAATTGTTTCTATAAGAGGAACTGGAGCTGTAAAATTGTTTATCTTGGCTGAAATGTATCCCATTGCACATCTCAGTGTCTATTCATCTTTGTGTGTTCTTGGATCGTGTAGGATCTCCTGGCCTCTCAAGCCTGTTGGATTTTGGCGTAGAATCGATTCTGAATTTCTGATCATCTTCTACCACAATGTTGCACATCTTAGCTGCGTCCACTGGGTTCTACAGGTCCGTCTTTTTGGATAAACTCTTGAGCTAATAAGTACACAGCTGTATTATTTTCAAGCAGCCTTTGTTTTTGTTGTTATTGACTTTATACCTAACAGAATGCTCTGCAACATAGACTGTCATCATAGATGTGTGAGGACTTCTTTTTATGTTTACCAATGCTTGTGTAGTTGTGTTTTAGGTCCATTTTTGTTCAACAGTCAGATTTCTTGTTTTTGGGTGGTGGGCTAGCCATGATTCATCCTTGTGCAGATCCTCTACTGAAGCTATTTCCTGATTTATCTAAATAAATTACTAGAGTTCCATGTACATGCGCAGTTTGTCAGGTGAATGTATGAGTTAGGTAATAACATCTTGACTGTCATGTTTCTTTCCTAGAACAAGAACTTAGCTTGTATTCGTTATGCACATAGCTTATTTCTTGTCTGTCCATGCTCATGCTTCTAGACGTCGCTGTGTGCATAGCTTGTACTGTAATAACATCGGCTAGACAGATTAAGCATATTTCACATATGCTGGACGTTAAATGTAACAGTTATTTACATTTCATTACCTTTCCTGTATAAATCATGTTAGTCCTCGGATCACAGTTAATTGGCAACTGAATGTGCTTTCTACTGAAACTCAACTGACTGTGCTTTCTTTTGACAGTCAACACCACAACAACTCTGCTCTCACCGTCAGACAGCGAGGTCAGACCATGTCCCTCTATTTGATCTTGGTAATTGCATGTAGCATGCCAATGAGCCTGCCTGTAGCAGCACTTACAGTTACTGGCAGTAAAAGACAAGTATAGGATAGGATGGCTATGCCTCAGCTGCAGCATATGATTTGGTGCTGCAGACCATGTTTAATACTATTAGTTCCTGTTGATTTAATGTTACATTTGCTACAGTCCATGTTTAATACTTATAGTGTTTGTTTATGGAAAGGTACTTACAGTCTATGACTACAGAGTTCCATCTAAGTACGTTTTTGTTTTTGTATGTGTATCCTAAGCATCGAGCTATGCTGTTATGGTTATGTAGGGAAACTAGAGGTGGAGTCAACCAACACCCAGAAGGAGATGGAGGACCGTGCTGGGTCAACATTGTATCCGTAGTTAATTTACTTTGATGAACATGCTAGTTAGTAAGTACAAATATACTGTGATGACGCATGATCTATCTCCTTAAGCAATTTGTTAGTTTGTCCTGTGCTCTCGAGTTCGAGGCTTCAGGAGTAATAGAACATCATCATTGTTCAGAAGAAAACTGAAGAAGGCCATGTTGAGACTAATGTTCAGAGCAAAGTAGTACTGTATGGAGTACTGGGTTTTTAGCTATTTAGAGTTAAATGCACCGTAGGTCCATTAACTTTTGATGGTGTGTCATTTAGGTCCATTATCTTTCAAACTGCATTTTTTTGTCCATTAACTTTTGGTGGTGTGTCATCCAAGTCCATCAACTTTCAAACTGCATTTTTGGGTCCATTAACTTTTGTTGATGTGTCATCTAGGTCCATCAACTTTTAAATTGCATTTTTGGGTCCCTAAACTTTTTAACTGGTTCACCGTAGGTCCATACCCCTTCGTTTAGCGAATAGATCTGACATGGCACGCCAAATAAGCAGCCACCGTGGAGTAGGTGATGAGTCCATAGCTCTTCAAGATGTTCATGGAGACTTGTCTAGCAATAATTCAAATGTAGCAGCTGATAATTCGTTAATATCCTCTGGTCTTAAATTTGGAACTATTATTTTTAAGGATAAATATATTGTGGACATGGAGAAATTTACAACTGTTGGACTGTCATCAAAGATATTTTATAGAGGTACCTTATTATTGCGTGGAAAGGAGGAGAAAATGAAGCAAACAAAATACATCAGTACTAATTCTAAAGAGGTGGAGATCATCAATGGAATTTTCCCAATGTGATTAGCATCCTTGCTGTAGTATTTTATTATTTCCATACATTAGTTTCCTATCCAGTTGTGATACACGATCTTTTATCTAGCATCTAGCTTTTAGTGCCTGTGTGCACCTGTGTACATGAATCAAATTGGTTGTTGCGTTTGGACGTGCCATGCATGTTAGCCGAATCAGGGACTCAGGGTCAATCGGTCCTAGTTGGGCTGGTGGAGTCCGAGTTTTGTTTGGGTCAGGTGGCTTGCGTGCCGATACTTGTGGCCTTCGGCCTTGTACCAGGTAGATTTGACTGGATTTTATTGTGAAGTTTATTCTCCGTCGAGCCGCCGCTCGAGACCCATCAGGTTCTTCGTATTGAAGATTATCTCCGGATGGTGATCTCGTCCTGTACTCCACGGTGGCAGCTTATTTGACGTGCCATGTCATATCTATTCGCTAAACGAAAGGGTATGGACCTACGGTGAACCAATTAAAAAGTTTAGGGACCCAAAAATGCAATTTAAAAGTTGATGGACCTAGATGACACACCACCAAAAGTTAATGGACCCAAAAATGCAATTTGAAAGTTGATGGACCTGGATGACACACCACCAAAAGTTAATGGACCCCAAAAATACAGTTTGAAAGTTGATGGACCTAGATGACACACCACCAAAAGTTAATGGACCTACGGTGTATTTAACTCTTTTATCTTTCTTACAATCTTTAGATTTCCGTACCATCAACTCCGCCTATGGTGGGGCGCCTTTGGTGTCCCAGCATAGCAGGTCCCAAGCCCTGGTAAAGGAGGAGGGTTTTGTTAGGCGCGGCGAGCCAATGTAAAAACTTAGCCACTTTAATGAAGATGAAACCCAAAAGAATCCCGTTGGGGCGTAACCCTCTTAGCGACGCGCCATGTTGGAACCTGGGTATGGTGTTAAATGAGAAAGGGCCAGGTCGTCACCCCCGTGACGCGCCGTGCCGCGATCTAGACACGGTGTCAAGTGAGCAAGGATCGAGTCATCGCATCCTTAGTGGCGCGCCACATCGGCGCCCAGGTGTGGTGCAAAATGAGCAAGGGTCTTCACACCTACCTCGGCGGGTGCAAAGGGTAAGGAAGCTAGTCGAGCCAACTAGGATCCATTTAGGTAGCTAGAATGTAGAGTCCCTTACAGGTAAGTTAAGAGAGTTAGTGGACACAACGGTTAGGAGACGTGTAAATATCTTATGCGTCCAAGAGACTAAATGGAAGGGGTAGAAGGCGAAGGAGGTGGAGACGTGTAAATATCTTATGCGTCCAAGAGACTAAATGGAAGGGGTAGAAGGCGAAGGAGGTGGACAATACCGGCTTCAAGCTCTGGTACACAGGGACAACTTCAAATAAAAATGGAGGAGTTTTGATTGATAAGAGCCTCAAGGATGGTGTGGTGGAGGTGAGAAGGCAACTTGTCATTAGTGATATAGTCTTAAACGTAATTAGTGCGTATGCTCCCTAAGTATGCCATAATGAGAGTGCTAAGCGGCTTTTCTGGGAAGACTTAGATCACTTGGTTAGAGCTGTCCCTAGTAGCGAGAAACTCTTTATAGGAGGTGATCTTAATTGCCATGTAGGTACATCAAGTGCAGGTTTCGAGGCGGTTCATGGGGGTTTCGGATATGGTAGTAGGAACCAGGAGGGAGAGGAAATCTTAGACTTCGCCATAGCTTTTGATCTGATGATAGCTAACACTTTCTTCCGTAAGAGACAATCCCATTTAGTGACCTTAAGTAGCGGCCAGTACTCTAGTCAAATCGACTTTGTCCTTACAAGGAGGGATAAACGAACATGCGTGGACTATAAGGTGATACCTGAAGAATGTGTGGTCGCTCAACATAAGCTGATGGTGACCGACTTCCGCTTTCTGATGCAAGCTCGTGGGAACAAACAAGCTATAGTTGCTAGAACGAAGTGGTGGAAATTAGAAGGGGGGCATCAAAGGTCTTTAAGGAAAAGGTCATTGAAGAGGGCCCTTGGAATAATGAAGGCGATGCAAACAGCATTTGGGAGAAGATGGCAACATGCATTTGGAAGGTTGCTTCAGAGGTGCTTAGAGTGACCAAAGGGAGTGGATGCGACTCGAAAGACACTTGGTAGTGGAATGAAGATGTGCAAAAGGCTATTAAGGAAAAAAAGAAGTGTTATAAGCGCTTCTATCATGATAGGTGTGCAAATAACATAGATAAGTACAAGGTGGTAAAGAAGACTGCAAAACGAGCGGTGAATGTGAGTACGAAAGAAGGAGAGAAGGACATTTATAGAATGGCTAGGGCTCACGATAGGAAGACAAGGGGCTTCAACCAAGTTAAGTGCATAAAAGATGAGAGGGAGCAGACTATTGGTGAAGGATGATGAGATCAGACATAGATGGCAAGAGTATTTTGATAAATTATTCAATGGTAAGAACGAGAACACCACCGTTCAGCTAGACAATTCGTTTGATGACACTAGCAGGCGCTTTGTGCGGAGGATTCAAGAATCAGAGGTCAGAGAAGCCTTGAAAATGATGAAAGGGGCAAAGCGATGGGCCCTGATGGTATCCCAATTAAGGTGTGGAGATGTCTCGGGGATATAGCTATAGTATGGCTAACCACGATGTTTAACAATATCTTTCGATCGAACAAGATGTTTGAGGAGTGGAGAAGAAACATATTGGTACCAATCTACAAGAAAAAGAAAGATATCCAAAGTTGTACTAATTATCGAGAAATTAAGTTGATGAGACACTATGAAGTTATGGGAGAGAGCCATCGAGCAGCGCCTGCGAGGAACGACGTAGATATCAACAAACCAATTTGGTTTCATGCCCGGAAGGTCAACCACAGAAGCAATCTTCTTAATAAGACAGGTAATGGAGCGGTTTAGAGAGCAGAAGAAGGACCTCCACTTGGTTTTCATTGACTTGGAGAAGGCTTATGACAAGATACCAAGAAATGTTATGTGGTGGTCTTTGGACAAACATGAAGTCCCATCAAAGTACGTGACCCTCATCAAAGACGTGTACAACAATGTTGTGACTAGTGTTCGAACAAACGATGGTAACACAGATTACTTCCCGATTAAAATTGGACTTCATCAAGGGTCAGCCTTAAGCCCGTATCTCTTTGCCTTGGTAATGGATGAGGTTACCAGGAACATACAAGGGGATATCCCTTGGTGTATGTTGTTCGCTGATGATGTAGTGTTAGTGGACGAAAGCCAGGCAGGAGTAAATAGGAAACTAGAATTATGGCGGAAGACCCTTGAATCTAAAGGTTTTAGATTGAGCAGAACTAAAACCGAATACATGAGATGCGACTTTGGCGGAGCTGCACAGGAGGGAGATGTGGGTTTGGAAGGTCAAGTAGTGCCTAAGAAGGATACATTTCGGTATCTGGGATCGATGCTACAAAGGGATGGAGATATTGATGCGGACGTTAGCATAGAATCAAAGCAAGGTGGATCAAGTGGCGACAAGCTTCTAGCATTCTCTTTGACAAGAGGGTACCACAAAAACTAAAAGGCAAGTTTTATAGAACGGCGATTAGACCGGCTATATTATATAGAGCAGAATGTTCGCCTACAAAGATTCGACATGTTCAACAACTAAGTGTCGCAAAAATGCGTATGTTGCGATGGATTTGTGGCTACACAAGAATGGACCGAATTCGGAACGATGATATACGTGATCGCCTAGGGGTAGCATCAATTGAAGAAAAACTTGTCCAACATCGGTTGAGGTGGTTTGGCCATGTCCAAATAAGACCTCCAAAGGCACCAGTGCATTGTGAAGTCCTAAGCCAAGCTAATAATATGAGGAGAGGTAGAGAAAGACCGAAATTAACATGAGGGGAGGCAATAAAAAGATATTAAAAAGCTTGGGATATACCTAGAGATCTATGTTTGAATAGGAGTACTTGTAAAGCAGCTATTAAAGTGCCTGAACCGTGACTTGGGGCTCTTGGCGGGTTTCAACAATAGCCTACCCCAACTTGCTTGGGACTGAAAGGCTATGTTGTTGTTATTGTTGTCTTGATTTTGGAATGTCTTTAACTGATGTTTTTATCTCTTTTGGTTCACACATGTAAGATCTTCCCTGGAGTCAGATGCTCCCAAACAGCAGCAGGGAATAGGGTTATCTCCCCTGCCGTGGAGGGGGATCCGATGGTCCACAAAAATCCCCCTAGGAGCTGCTGCTCCCTGGGCGGATCTGCTCTCTCCTCCCAAACTAAGCCTTAGTGGAGTTAGAGTGGTTGTTTGTAAGGGTCTTTTAAGGGACCATCTCTTCTCTCTTCAATACAAGATATGCAGCTCTCCCGTGTGTTTCAGAGAAAAAAAAGTCTCTCGCCACTAAATTCAAATACAATGCATAGAGAGAAAACTATCCTGATTTCTACAGCAGTAAATAGATCATCACAAGAAGAAAAGGCAATAGAATCAGATCTTCAAAAAAAAAAAAAACTAGAAGTGGCATTGATCAAATTTTACTTTAGAATAAAAGGAGATGACTACTGTGGAGAAATATACCCAGCTTGTTAACTCTTTCATGACGAGTTTGCAAACATCACGCACTGCAACAAGGGTTGCTAGAAGCCATGTGACAAAAGTGCTCTTTGATGCATTTTCATACAAACTTCTGAAAACCTGGAACCAAAACAGCAAAGGGGGAAAAAAAACTCAAGGAAAGAGACAATAAATGGAACAGAACGTGTAACATAACTGATGACAAACCTTGTGTGCAACTGCTAAAGCGGCTTCATCCCGACTCACACATCTGCACAAGATATCAGGAACTTCGGCGATAACAGACTAAACACAACAACAGTCATAGATGCCACTTTGTCAAGAAAGGATTAATTTATGAGAAAATGTATCTAGCCTACCAATAGAAGAAATTAAAATATAAAAAACATGAAACCCCTAGTAAGAATTATTCAAATATGTAGCCAGCAGGCTGACCTGAATTTCCACATCTTTCCCATTGTTTGCAATCAAGGTTTCAAGCTGAAAGATACAGAGAATGGGGAAACTGATCAACAATACCGTTGCCCAAAATGTGTACGAGGAGACATTAACACAGATGGCATCTAGAGCAGAAAAAAATAAAGCAAACTTAACAAGGTCTAATAGTATTGTGATTTGCAGTTGAAGATCATTTGCATATGCCAAAGAAAAAATGACACTAAAATCCACATGCAAGGTTTCGAACTATAGCAGATAACATGGACAAACATTACAGGAAGTTACTCCATTTTTATGGTAGTTTAGTACCTGACATACTGGCATAGATCATGCTGTTCCTCTATGATACTACTGGATCCAATACAGTTATTTCCCAATGTACAAAATAATATTACCTTCTGCCAAACATGTTGATATCTGTCCAATGCATCACCAGTATTCAGCAGTTCTGGAAAAGCAGATCCTAGACGATTGATAGCAACTGTGGGTGAAGGTGGTATCGCAGAACCTACATCCTGGGAGCATAGTTGTGCAAAGTTTAATCAATAGTACCCTTCAATCAAACACTCTTCAGTTTACTTCATGTGAACACAAGACTATAAGTTACTAACTTTAGTTGCAGTTGCTAGTTCACCCACTAGAAGGTCACCAGATGCCATAGGAGGAAAAATCGATGCAACATTTGTGATTCCACAAGCTTGGCCAGAACTGTCAGTGGTACTAATTTGAGCAGAAACACTGTCATGGAAAAATATAATACATCCGAACAAGGTGCTTCAATCAATGTACAAGTAAGACAAAAGAGGGAGTCCTCATCCTTACCTTAAAAGTTGTGTAGCACCAGGATCTATCTTGTCAGGTATTAATTCTGTTGAATGATTTGCAGATGTGAACGCAGCAAATTGGAGAGTTGAGAAACTACTGGAGGCTGATGGTGCTAAAATCGGTCCATGAACTGAAGCAGTACTGGATTCGGTTGGGGCAATGGCCACTGTTGTAGCAGAAGTTGTTGCACCAGCATTTTGACTACTCTGGCTATGCCACACAGTGATGAAGTCCTGAAATTGACATCAAAATAAGATGCAGGTGTTGGAAATGAAAATTGACTGAAAATAAAGAAATTCATGATGCTATTTCACCTCGTATACTCGTCGTTGGACAGCAGACAAATTACCAGAAGGCTTAGGACGGAGTACATCGGGGACACGTGTAAGACCTTGAGTGTAAGGAGAAACATCATAATAAGCTGAGCCTTGTAGTTCCTTTTGTCTCCTGAGTTGTGCAAAAGGTTGCTTTATGTCTCCATCAATCATCTCAACAGCCTGCAATAATACCATTGGCACTGTGATTCTGCAAATCTCATAGTTTGCCTTATGCCATTATTGCCATCATAGAATATAATATATGTAACAAATTACCAAATAAATAGAACTTATAAAAGTTAAAAAAAAAAAGAATATGCACATTGAACTTCCTCACATACTATCAATACTACTCCCTGCTTGCTCGGTTGGCTGGGCTGGGCTGGCCAGGTCGTGGCTCCCTATTGTGGTTGAACCTGACTAGGCTGACTGCCACTGTTGACCGGGCAGCACAATTTTTAGTCAGGTCTTAAGACCAATTTGACCAAAAGTTCACTAACTCCGATCCATTGCTCTGAGGATCATATGAGGGATGCTTCTGATATATTGTCATGTGCCTTAAAAGATCCTTGTACTTATCTTGGCCTTCCTCTCACAATTCACAAGCCGACCAAAAATGACCTCCTCCCATTGATTGACAAGGTGGTTGATTACCTCCCTGGTTGGAAGGCTTCCTTAATGAACAGATCTGGTCGGTTGATCATGGTGAGAGTGGTTTTAACTGCAGTCCCCATCTACCTTATGATCGCAATGGACTTGCCTAAGGCTTTGTTTGGCTGCACACAAATACACCCCAATCCACGTGGTTTTGGAGGGATTGGAATAGAATTTAGTTTAAATTCCACCCCAATCCCTCCCAAACAACGTGGATTGGGGTGGATTTGTATGCAGCCAAACAAGCCCTAAGTGGGTTATCAGGGCAATTGATAAGCGGCGCAGAGGCTTCCTTTGGAAAGGCCAAGAGCAAGCAAATGGTGGGAACTGTCTAGTTGCTTGGGAAAAAGTGTTGCGCCCTCTGCAGTATGGTGGTCTTGGAATTCACAACTTAGAAACTCTTGGTTGGGCGCTGCGCATCCACTGGCTTTGGGCACAAAAAAACTGATGCATCTCGATCTTGGGCAGGATCGCCAATCCAGGTGCCACAAAATGCCTTAGCCCTCTTCAATGTTGCTGTTGAAACTTCAATTGGTAATGGGGAGTCAACTAAATTCTGGTCAGATAGATGGTTGCAAGGCAGGACAATCTCTGAAGTCGCACCCAATCTATTCAGCTTGATCTCCAAAAGAGTTGTAAAGCAACGCACGGTGGCCCAGGCCCTGGACAATAAGCGTTGGGTGGCAGATATTAGAGGGCTTTGACTGTACAAGTGCTAAGGCCTTGTTTGGATGCATGTGTATTCACTTCAATCCACATGTGTTGGAGTGGAATGGAATGGAACTTAGTTTAATTCCACTTCAACACATGTGGATTGAGATGAATACATGCACATCCAAACAAGCCCTAAGAGAGTATCTGCTTATTTGGGGATTGGTTGATAACCTGGTTTTACAGCCAACAGTTCCTGATCAGCATAAATGGAAGCTAAGTATTTCTGGAACATACAGTAGCAGGTCTGCATACAATGCCTTTTTCTTTGGAAGCATCAGGTTTGCGCCTTGGAAGCGTATTTGGAGAAGCTGGGCACCCTTGCGGTGTAAATTTTTTTTTGGTTGGCCATTAACAACCGGTGTTGGACAGCTGATCGCCTTGCCAAGCGTGGGCTTCCTCACCCGCCAGCATGCCCGCCTTGTGATCAGGCTGAGGAAAATATTCAACACACCCTCATCTCATGCGTGTTCGCCCGACAGATTTGGACCATGATTTTTCAAAAGCTGGACCTCTTGTCTTTTGCTCCTCAAGGATCCAATATTCGCTTCTCTGGTTGGTGGTGTGGCACCATCAAAGGCGTTCCAAGAGGATCGCGCAAAGGCCTCAATAGTCTGATCATCTTAGTTGCTTGTGAATTATGGAAGCACCGAAATGCTTGTGTTTTCAAGGTGCTAGGCCTAGCACAGAGGTGCTGCTTCAATCTGTGGCCAATGAGAGTAATTTATGGTGCATAGTGGGAGCTTCGGCCTTAAATGAGTTCCTTGCTAGGTCGTTGGTCTTGGATCCCTAGGTCCTTGGTCATTTTGTGGTAGCTGGTCATGTTTTTTCTAGTTTATTTTCTAAGTAGTATGTTGTTTTGAATAAACCCCATGGGGGGTGCCTGGGAGGGGGTTTCTTACTTCCCTCCCTTTTGTATCTTTTTTCTTCTTAATGAAATGACACGCAGCTCTCCTGCGTAGTTTGAGAGAATATGCACATTGCCAAAAGGCACAAAAAAATGTCAAAGAGGTACCTTGCGTGTTGCCACAGTCTCTGTTAGAGCACATCCAAGATCCAGATTATCATTAACAAGGATGTGACTAATTTGTTCAGTGGTTTCACTATTGCTAATCAGGTTCTGAACAAGACTCCGAAGATTAGATAACAAAGCAACACGAAGAGGCTCCTGCAACAGAAACAAAAGAATTTAATCCTTTGTAGATGATATCCAACCAGAACATACTAATCAAGTTGAAAATACAACTAAAAGAGTTGAACTTAAGCATGGCTTGGATGCCCTATTATTCTAAAAAGATATGTGACCAAATCAAATAAGAATTAGGAATAAATACCTTGGAAGTAACATGGGCTAAACTTCCTGCTAATATACCAACCATCAAATGTGCAGAGCGAGAAATGGTCCCATCATCAGATTCCATTGCATAATCCTACAGGAAAGTAAATGCAGTCTGTTACAAATAAATCCACCAGTAATACAAATATCTATATCGATTGCCGGTCGACAATTACTGAAATATTACAATATGTTTACCTTTAGAATAAGTTCCTTAGTGGTTCGGCTAGCTATTGTAACACTTCTTTGAATAACAGGACCTATAATCTCCTTAATAGCCTTATCTAATGCCACGTCCATGATTCTATGAAGATCAAGAGTGTTGTCAGATGATTAAAAGAAACTATAGTGTAATGAGGTAAGCTTATATAGAGAAACATACTTGCTATACTGCAATTTTGGGCCAAGTGAGTTAAGCTTTTCATTGATTCTGAAATATATATCAGCACGTGGAATTGCTGCCATAAGCTGTAAAGAATCCATTAACGAATAAGTATAGAAATATTGAAATTAAAGAAAGGGAGAAGGGCATGGGGCATAGAAAAGCAACGAGTTTCAACCTGACTCAAAGAAAATGGGGACGGTGATGGTGTTTGAGGTGGTGCAACCTGGGTCAGGCTGTGAGAGCTAACTTGTTCAGGCATGATTAAAGCAACCTTATCATCTTCAACCATACTGTTTGGAGGTAGGCGAATAGGTGCTGCATACTGCACAACAGAAGTACTCTAGGTGAATTGAAATATTAGAAAATGCAAAAAGCTGAAATCTTCGCTGACTATGAGAGAAGTGAACCGACCTGACTAAGCATATTTGGAAGGCTTGTAGCACGTGAAGTGATATTAATCTCAGGTTGTAGTTCTACATGGTTCAGTGAAGGAACGATACCGGAAGAGACCTCCGCTGCTGCAGGTGTTTGAGATGCAATAACATCTTTATTTGAAAAATCTGGATTTCCGACAACCTGTCGAATCCGATCTTTAAGAAGAGAAGATGGTTTTACATCATTCATGTCCACACTAAGATTCTTAAACAAAACCTATGACACCAAATAATCACAATTAGATATCATTCTTTTAAGCAGAACATATCCCTTATTACCACAACTTTGAATATGCACAAACCTCAATGTCAAACTTGAGGTTCATTTTGAGATTAGGTAGATTGTATATCTCAACAAGAAGACTAAGAATACCCATCGTCCAGGGATTGGGAGGACGATATGCTATACTTGATTGGCAAGATTCAAGAATCTGAAAAAACAACAGTATCACAATGACCAGCCCAATAATAATGGCTATGTTTCTTTTTTCTTAGGAAAAAAAAATAATATAAGATCAAGATAAAGAGCAGCACCTTTGAAGTAAACGGAATGACCGCAATCATCAACCCCCTTTCATAAGCCTGAAAAGGGGAAATCAAAATTGAATGTCAGGTCAGGAAGAAGCATTATGGCTAAAGCATCATCTGCTTGAACTGCTTGACAAGCATCATTGACCACTACTTAAATCAGCATTCAATCCAGATTCCAAAAGCGAAATGCAGAAAGATATGCACAGAATTAACAAAGTTTAGAAGTTAGAAGACTGGATGAAGCAACTAACAGCAAAACATACAGGTTACGAAAACAAGCATGACACAGAATTATAGAATGAACAAAGAAAAGAAACTGATTTAAATACAAGTACTTACCTGAACTATTAAGATTTTTGGGTCAATTTCCTTTGCTCGTAATGTTTGATTCCTACCTATAGTGCATTTTCCAAGCCAGCTACCAAGATTTTTTAGCAACGAACGCTCTTCAGAACTAGATTTGATAAGATCTGACCGTAACAAGACCTGTTGGGAAAAAAAATGTCTCAAGCAGAGCATGACCAAAATAAATAAAAAGACAAATATGAAATATGTGTGAACATGACCTTGCAGTTCTCGTATGTAGCTTTCATTATTTCCCTATTCAATGATTTTGAGTTAACCTTGTCGAAGAATTTCAAATACAAGTCATGGAAATTCGGTTCAATGCTTGCCCTGCGAAGACATGTGCACAATCCTAAAATTGAACATGTTTTGTTGCATTGAAATAAAAGAAAGTACAATTGTATCATCAATGTCTACCTTTTCATGACCATGTATTGTGCAAACCAAGGATAATAATGCTCCTGTAAAACCCCATTAAACTCTTTTGCCTTAGCCTCCATATTAGAAATGGAAATATTATTGATCATGAAGAAAATTTTGTCTTGAACTTCAGGTGGAGGGGCCTAGGTGGCAACAGAAAAGTTAGTCTAAAATAAAACTTATGCACTATCTTACAGAATAAGGATCCAAATAAAATATAAAAACTACTCTCAATGCCCTCAAAACCTGATCTATTGTGTCCTCTAGGTCTTCAAATTAGATTCTAGTCTTTAGGGTTCCCACACAAAGTTTACAAAGACTTCTGGTGTTAATTCGCCCTAAAAACTAAACAAACCTCAATTGGTGTATCTCTTCGTTCAGCTGCAGCAACAAGAGTCTCGATATTTAAAGCAGATCCAAATCCTGTAGTGTAGGAAGGTTGTCGAAGAATGCCTGCAAAACAATGGGACATATCACAAATCTAGCCATGCCATATATTAAGAGCAGAAATAACTACAGTTAGCTACCACCTTCCTGGTTAATATTTACTCTATGTGAGCGTGAAAATAACCTGATGGAGCTGAACTTCTAGATCGTACAAAACCAGAAGATTGTGAAAGAGCTGATACGCTGCTAGAATGATGGGGTGAAGCTTGAGACGACAGTGATATAGTAGCCTGCACATGTTCAGATTTTGCAACAATTAAGTGTTAAACTGAATATTCAAGAGATGCAAAAGTACAGAATACAGATTTCTAAGTTTGTCAAGCATCACACAACATGGAAATGTAACATCATACAATACCTTTGAATTGACACCCAAATCACTAGTTGAAGTGAGAGGAGGTTGACCAATAGCCATGATGGTTTTTGTTTGACTGGTATTAGTAGAGCCTTTGGACCTCTCCCCGAGAAATCCCTGATTCCTCTGTTGCAATGAAAAGGAAGAAATTGTCCTATCTAGTTGTGTTGGAGTTGAATTTATGAACTGCCATGATGCTTCAGAAGACTACACACACGAAGCATTTGTTTCAGAAAAAAGGAATAGGTGATGATGTCTATGAATAACCTTCTTAGAAAAGTGGCAAAAAAAAAAAAACATGTACAAACAAGCTTCTGTTGTTACAACCAGTTGAATGTTTCCTTCTTGACCTAATGGATGTGAGTGTACCTCTATGTTTTCAATAGACTGTGAACCAGAAACTCGCTGATCCACAGGAAGCATGGGGCTCAAATTGGGCTCATTTTGACTCAACGATATCTTGGCAAGTGCTTGCTCGATACCAGAAACTAACTCAGCATGTGTCCCACGAAGATGTGAAATCTGCAGTATATGATTGCAATATTGTGGCCACTCAATTACTCGATCCATAAACTGCTCCAACGCTGTCGTACCAAACATAAACATCTGCAACCATCATGCAATCAGATGTAGAGTTTTCATAAATAAGTAAGTAATGGGGGAGAATAGATACAACTGAAAGAAAACAACCATAAACAAACCTTCGAATCAATGGATTTACGCAGGGCATCAAGAACACCCCGTAGAGCAATTCCAAGTGCCAGGTGGGCCACAAGTTGATGTTTAATGACAGAGCCTATATCCAAACAGAAGAACAGAATCAGCTTCCTTAAGCAGATAATGACTTCAGCGCGATACTCACAGACATGGTAAACACAAATACATAGCAAAACAGAATCAAAGAACATGATAGCCTGGTCATTTGGACAATGCTGCCAAGTATCATCCAACTTAGAAAACCCAGATACAAGCAAAGCATGCGTGTGGGATACAAATATTTCTTCCACAAGATCAAAATGAGTATTGAAAAGAAACCAGAGTAATGAAAAAAAAATTGAAACCACCTAACTCATGTATCTCTCATAAGTCATAACTGCCACACTATTTTCCCAAATATTAAACCAAAAAAGAGTCACAATGAACCAAGACCAAGCTACAGCTTTGCATAAAAAAAAACACGGGAAGATGTCAGAAGGCTTGGTAAGCAAAAGGCAAAGCTCTAGTAGACAACAACATGCTGAAATACATTGCAACTATTAGTAAATAATGTATTGTCCAATGCAAATGTGTTTCTGTATAAACTTAGGAACACAAAGCAAGAAAAGCCAACACTTACCAAAAAGCACAGCAGCTAATTTAAGTTGTGCATCTGGATACTCCGGGAAGAACTTGTATTCTTCAAACAAATTTGAGATCATGCAGTTGAAAATTGATAGCTCCCTGTTTACCCATAATAATATTATCAAATAAAGACATCAGCAAGTGAACAAACAGAATAGACAGAATTCAACATTAAAACAAGTCATCGCGGACAAAAAGTGAAGATGTTGGCAGTTGTTTCCAGAATATAACTCAAACAGCTAATTTACATGACTGTGTATGCAAATAAACAAGTCACTTGATATATGCCCGTGCATTGCACCAAGGTCACGATTTTTTGAACTGAACTTCAATAATCGGACGCGGACATGTGAGCTTCGAGGACTTCGTATCGGACGCGGACACGTGGATTCGGTCTCAATATTTAAAGCCACAACATAGTATGCATATAGTACAGCTTTCATAACATCTCAATATTTTTTATATAAAGGAATAGTCGCACAGCACCTCATTAAGCGTCATTTTATTAGATACCTAGTTTTGCAGTTTTGTTATGATACACATTTGAGTGAGATAGGCAACAGATTAAGTGGAACAAAGATCAAGTACGGAAAATTGAAAAAAATGAGAAATACCTCTTGTCTTTTGATTCTTTGAAGCGTGCAAGCATCTGTATCATAGCATCAATGCTTATCTGGCCAGCAAACATCTGTTGAAAATAAATATTTGCCTGAGCTTCGATGTCTTCAGAACCTCCATCAGAAGAAGGCATGTCCCTTCCTACATCACCACGATTACTTGATTCATACACTGATTCAACTCTCCTTAGTTCATCCACCAGTTGGTTAGACAGCAGCTGCCCCGAGTGAGAACGAAGAACCTGTAAATGTACATCATTTGCTCATATGTTTACTCATTTGATTTGAAAAGTAAGTCCATAGACCATAACAAAAGCACAAATGAAAATAAGATAACTGAAACCTTTATAAATACAGGGCAAGAGTCCCAGCAGATATTTGAAAGAGTAGCTTGAAGATGTTGAATGGCACCTTCCACAGCATTATAATTTGTGCTTATCATAATCTCTTTCAAGAATTGAACACATTCCTGGGAATATAGTACTAGCATGTAAATCATAATGCCAAGCAGAACTAGCAGTACATATAGAAAATGAAAACATCTTCATGACTATGTAGCATGATTTGTGAAGTCATGTGTATTACCTCAAGAAAGGTCACTCTTTGTGCACTCAACTTTTCAGTCAGCCATTTTTCAAGATGGCTATGGTCCTTCCTAAAGGCAGCTGTAGCAAGTCTAATGCTAAATGCAAACGGGGTGGAATCAAGGACAGTAGCCAAGATCTGTTTCAGGGGGGAAATGAAAAAGGATTATGGTTCAAGCAGTAATTAAATCCTTTAATATCAGAATAAACTATTCTTGCACAGCCAATATGAATGCCGCATCCACCTACAAAAATCTGTAATTAAGGCTAGTGTAAAAAAATTCTTCAAAGTTCAAACAGAGCAGCACATAATTGGCTAATTGCTATTCTGCAATGTTTAGGACTTTAATCTACTACAAAACCAAAACACAACCCAAGGTTGCTTCTGTGAAGTGTTTAATTTTATGAGCTGATCCAATGTGGACCAAGCATCTTCTTTCAATCTTTCAACAGAAAACTGGTTCGTATATATTATCAATTCATAAGCCATGCTGGAGCCTCCAGTGTGAAATGTATTATCAAAACCATTGTTGTGTTAATGCATGTTATCCACAGTTTAAACTTTAAGACTTGTATAGTACCCTCAGTCCTCACCATCACTTTAGCTAGTTTATAGTTTTAACATTTTTTCATGTAGTGTTAACAGACTAGTTTAGCAGTCAAGAATTGCCATTAGCATATATCCAACTTAAACGGTCCATGTGACAAGTACAAGTTTGAAGTTTTTTTATGACAAAATTCACATGCATACAATAAGAATCAGCTTACCCAATTAGGACTTGTTAAATTACATGAAAAAACAGAGACAATTCAACTTGCAAAAGGGAATTGTAATAAGGTTGTTCAGTAGCCAACTCGCTACATAAGGGTCGTCTACTGTACTACCTTTAGGTCTTCACATATCTCAACAGTTCGCAGAAGACAACTTATGTCAGAATGAGCATCAACAAATCCTCGAAGAGTAAGGTAAGGGTTGATATGCCAGAGATAATTCATAAGACTGCTGTGCATGGTGTTCTTCACCACAGCAGGAAAAACACAAGACAACACTTCGTGCTGGATGAGATTATATGCAGTCTGCAAAAGATGATTAGAGTTCATGATAGTTAACAAGTATGAATTACTCAAGGATGCAGCTAACAAATATTATTAGTTCTGAGACACTAAGGACTCAAAACATACATTGATATGGCTAACACCAAGAAGTAACACTTCAGGACAATTGATCAGAGGATAATCAAGCATTGCTCGCACTGGCTTTGCATAGCCAAGTTCAGCAAGCTGACATAACACCTCAAGAAGGTCAAGGCAGTACCAAGCCTGGTTGCCTTGGTTACGATTTCCCAAGTCTGGAAAAGCCTAAAGAATACGACAAAGGTTATATGTGTGCATGTTTATTAAGAAGCGAAAGTTGACAATATACTAGGATGAGATACCATCTTCCTGGTACAATGTGCGAAAGTAAATGTATCATTTGGCAAAGCCACTGCATGTTTCAAGAATGACAGTTGTCCTTCTGTATTATTCCACAGTGACCCACAGATGGCATGAAGTGGGAATGGATCCTACATGATTCCATAAACAAGTCAGCTGAACAGTTCAGAAATCTAGTATCCAGAACAAGAAATAATGGTAAATACCTTGCAGGCTCGAGAATATATAGACATCAATAAACGAAAAGCTGCTTCATCAGGGATAGTGAAACCCTCATGATCAAGATTTTCTATTACATGCGTCCAGTTAGTTCCAGGTGCCTGCAGTTTGCAAGTACTGTAAAAGAAAGAAATCGAAAAAAAACAAATGAGCACCAAAAACAAAGATAGTCAAGTCTCACAATTTCATTGATTGAATCCACAAGGACATCAATATTCCATGCAGTCAACTGAGATGAGTCAATTGTTTGGTTGTTCCCAAAAGCCGAAAGGAATACTGAATATGTATTTTGAGCTTCTCCAACACCAATACGAGTGCAAACAACCACCCCTAGTAACTTAGAGATTCCAATATCATCAAGAGGCTCAAGGAGTGATAATATTTCTTTACAATGAGTAGTATCAGAAGTACATCCATATCCCAGTTCACTGATGATATCAGGCAGGCTTATTTGTTTTCCAATTTCAGATAGAAGGGAGTCAAAATCATCATCTGAGCTACCAATGCACATCTCTGTATATCTGTACAACACAAAGAAAGCAAAGAAAAATGTGTGAATAAGGCAACCTGATACATGGAACAAACATATATAAACGAGGCAACTCTGAAAACCTCAAAGAATTTGCTTGATCACTATTGGCTTGCTGAAGTGGGACAGGAAAATAGAATGGCCCCTCTTCGACATTTAATAGGGAAACAATCTTAGTAAAGGAGTCCATATGATTTGAGAGGCCTTCAGTCTGAAGAAGAAACACAACAATCTCCTGGATCCGTTCATTTGATACAGAATGAGCATGGTTTGAGCATAACTCCTCAATTTGAGCAATTGTAAATTTTCTCCCTGCATAGAAAGAATCAGATAAGCATATCAAGGAAGTGAACTAATAGTTCACAAAGCAAATCTATTTCTAATAATAAAAGCTTTCCGAAATCCAACTATTTACCTTCCAGGTTCAAGTCTGAATTCCCAGAATCTGAGAGAGCAAGTCCAACTCCAACCCTCTCAGCAGCAGATAACTCAAGTTCATCGGACAGTGTTTCAAGGAACCCATCACTGACAGGTATTGCCCTCAATGCTTCACAGAAACTGGTGCTGAAGTAGGGTTTATCCACACAATATCTGAAGATGGCGGCTACAAGATCATGTTTCAATTGGTGGTTCTTTGCCCCACCAATGTTCAAGAGCATTTCATCCACACAAACTTGAAGCAACAAAACGCACCCATCAGGGCTACAATCCACAAGCTGAAACAATACTAATAATTAGTAAGAAACATGCTAAGAGTGTCTTCAGAGTTAGAGCAAACAAGGATACATGTTCATGTTAAAAAGGAGATTATGGCAGCTAAATCCTCAAAAACCATACATTACCCATAACATTAATGGCGTTTATAAACATGGGATCAACAGTGGGCAGATTGTACAGAAACCCTAGATTAATCCTGACACTAGGAGTTATAAGCACGGGATCAACCATGGGCAGATCGTTTGCTGGATCCTGACAAGCAAATTGCGAATCGGTCGTGCAACGCGCGCTCGACCTTAACGAAGCACGGACAGCTTGTCTACAGTTGGGGTAGGCAACTGATGCTGGAGCATTACCTGGGAGAGCTCGCGATATATGGGGTCGAAGGTGGAGTCCTCGGCGCCCTGGATCAGGGCGCGCACCTCCGCGGCGACCGCGGGGTTGAACGGGATCATCCCGCCGACAGTAAGCGGTGAACGAGGGCGGCGATGGCTAGGGCGGGATCGCTGCTGGTTTCTGCTTCTACAAGCGCCAGGCGGTGAGAGCGCAGGCGAGGCGAGGCCGCGAGGGTGTCGCTGAGTCGTTGTGTCAGACCGGGACGCCCTGTCGGCCCTGACGATGACTCGAGGAAACGGAAATGCGAAATGCAAATGCCAGTGGGAGTTGGGGGGCGAGCCCCCGGACGGGCCGCGTTTCACAGATGTTGCTAGCTCGCTTGCCTGACATTTTACGTTTTCTTTCGGCAATTTCTTTATTTTTTTAGACGATCTGGACATTTCTTGATTTTTTTTTAGAAACTGCCCTCCCTCAAACTTTATTCATCAGGGCATGTACAGCCAGGAGGTTCCATACAGCCACATGTTCAATTAGTTGACACCCAAAAAGTAAACCATATAACAGCATGTGCATACCAAGGCAATAGGACCACAAGCAAAATCATCATGCCTTCGGCTGATTACTAACAGAAATAGCGTAATTTCCTTGCTGTCTAGAAAATCAGCATGACTTCCTCCTTTTCCCTGCTAGTAGAAAATGGCCAGATATACCAATTCTAGTGAACTGAACAAGTAAACAAGGAGCTGAAACATTCAGTAGCTAGAAAACAATCTGTTACCAAAACTAATCTTTTAGGGAAAACATTCACTTATCAGTGATTAGTAACTGAAAATAATGATCGTAGAACACATGGATCTTGCAATTGCTATCCCAAAAATCTAATTTCCAACTGAATCAAATCATCAGACAATATTGGTAGTTTTCCAACTGGATCAAATTGGCACTACCTGAAAAAAATAGAATTGCAGTGCATACCTTCGGAAAATTAGATACTTTCAGGAAATAAAGTCTTCCTGAAACACTTCATGGCAGCAACAGGCTCAGCTTTTTCTTCGTCAAATTGAACTTGTATCTTGAGATATGAGTGGTGTAGACATGCATCATCTTTGATTCCTTCTCAAGTTTTTTTGCCTTTGTGGTCTCCCCTGAGCTATAAGATGGGCCAGTCTTGTGTTTTCAAACTTCTCGAATGATAACTTCTCTAGTTCTAGTACCTTCATGCGGTTTGCATTCAAGTCTTCCGGATTTTGCAAAATTTGTCAAGCTTCTCCACATCAATTGCCGATTCCTTCGATTCCCATCATCATCTAGGTTTGATCCTTCGGACTTCCCTTTTGCAGCAAGAGCAGCCTTTTTAGCTGCCTTTTGTCCAATAGATCGCTCTAGCATTTCTTCAATATCATCATTGCCATCCACTTCTCCTTCAATGTGATACGACTTCTTTTTACGTGCATTTTTAGCTCTTCGTTGTATGTTTTCCACTTTGGCTCCTCTCGGCATATTTTCTAAACATTCATTAGCACAAAGGGACCTAGCTTTACCTTTTTGTTGTCTACCAAATAGAACTTGTGCGCTGCATCAGTCCACATCTGATGAGAATACCACTTGTGAATACTCTTCGAGCCTTCAGATATGAACATTCATACAGGTCAGTCCACCGATTAATCTTGTGCCATGGATCCTTGGCTTGCTTTGAATTTCTTTTCCTATGTGACGGGTAGTCATGTTGTATGACTTAACAACATCACCCCAATAGTGCTCGTTATTCCTATCAGCTTCAATGGATGAGTCTGTCGAATTTTTCAATCAAGCACTCATCAATCTTTCATCTTCTTCTGGTGTCCACATGATCCGCTTCTCCATCTTGACATTTTCATTATTGTTGTCAACTCCAATACCTTGCTGGCCAGATAAAACTTCCACTCTTGAGACGAACTTCCACCAGCATGTGGTGCATCCATTGAGGCAAAACTTCCACCACCGACGAATGTTGTCGCTGCATTGTTGCAGAGGCTGGCAGGGATGCGTGCTGGGGGCGAGCCGCTTCCGCAAGGAAATCTGCTTGCCAACGACGATGACACCGCTGCTAGCACTGTAGTAGCCTTGCTCTTCATAGCCATCGCGGACTCCCTCTTCTAAATCGATGCCATCCTGCTAGACATCGCAAGAGGGGCAAGGCGGCGGACACCGGCAAAGGCGTGTGTCGGGTTTATAAACCCGAGGTCCCTCATGGACCGGCTTCCCAGTAAAGGCTCGGCCCAGCAAACAACGTTGCGAATAACGCACAACTCTTGGGCCGGCCCAAACACCTAAACGACAGGCCAGAAGGACAATCCACTCTTTGACCAGAAGGCCTAGCCGAGGAGGAACGACGTCCACTTCCGACTCTGGCCCGCCTCTCCGACCGAAAGGCCTCGCTTTCAACTCCGGCCCTCCTCCGGACGGCCTCTCCGACCGAAGGCCTGGCCAAAACACCACTTTCGACTCCGACCCGCTTCTCCGACCGGGAATGCATCGAACCCCTGCTTATAGCTCCTCTCCGACTGGCGCAATCAGAGCCGACTAGGACCGACCGACCGAAGACGCCCGCTCGGTAAGGACCAGGAAACGGACGGAGAAAGTAAGGCAGGGCACTCAAGTCAAACCGCAATACCAAGGACCGCACCCTGTACACCTGCAGGACAGTACCCTGTGACCTCCCTGGCATGACAGAACCCAAGCAGTGTTGTAGGCGCCGACATTTTCCCCTACAGTGTTGTGGGCGCCATCAACTCCCATACCAAACAAATACGGTAAGGCTCCCCCCACGTGCCTCTGAGGCATCAACAGTGTTGTGGGCGCCGGTATTTACCGTACCAGGTGAATATGGTAAAACCCCTTGCATGCCTCTGGGTATCAACAGTGTGGCAAGCACCGACGTCTGCCATACCTGAAGAAGACGACGCAACCTCCCACATGCATCTGACACTAAACAGTATTGTGGGCGCATACCATCATCTTGTACCCGCTGCGCATGGGCAACAAGACTTAGCAGCATACGTACTCTCTCTCTCTCTATCACTTGTAAGACCATTCCCTTCATCTATAAAAAGGGATGCGCTCTCTTCCAACAGAGAGATCGATCAGTTCACTAGTACACAACAACAGAACCACCAGGTTCAAACCACAAGCACACGCTCGGACACTTAACTCATAGCGGAGCTCCCATCACTCTCGGCCCCTCTAACCAGAGTCCGATCGGACCTCTTGTACCCCCCATCTTTTTCCTTCTCGTTTGTAACCCCACTGCAAACTTCAAGCACCTGGGCGGCAGAGACCATCGGCGGAGAGGAATGGCGGAAAAATGGCGAGGCTGAGACATATATGGAGGGAAATTTGGCATGCAATTTTCGCCTCGTGCGCGTAGCTAGATCCGCACGACGTTGATTGGAGACGACGCTCCGTACAATGTGCATCCAGTCGTGGGCTTCATCTGGGAGAACGAGCTCTTACCATTGTCTCACCAAGCGATGGCTTCGTTCTCTCCCCTCATTTACCGTAGTGAACCGATGGGGGTTTTGCAAAATTCTCAGCCAGGAGACGATGGTCCGCACACCATTGTACGTGCCCTTGTATTACAAACTGCTTCAAGAAAATTAAGGAACCCGTTGACACCCAAAAATATGCCAACATGTAAATTGGGCATACTATCAAGTCTCTAACATCAAAAGGGTGTTAGAAAACATTTGGCGCGACAAATGACAAAGAAACAAGCAAGGAAGGAGGATGGCATGGCTAGACAGGTTCGCCAAGCCGGCTAGGCCGGCTCCTCTGCTCAAGTCGGCTTAGGCCTCTTTGGTTAGGCTTTTGCAACTTACTTTTGTTTTTTGCGAAAGTCAAAAGCCAACCAAAAGGGTGAAAAACCAACAACTACTTTGAGGCAAAAGTTGCTTTTGCTTTAGTACAAAACTCACAGTAGCTCCCCATGCTTTAACTGCTGTGGAGGTGGGTAACTTTGAAAAAAATGCCCACCTCATTTTTTTACTTCTATTCCCGTATGCAACGTTCGCGAGGAAAGGAGAAGTCGCTTCTAACAGCGCCCTCCACGCCGGCCAGTGAGCTCGACTCCAAGTTGCCCATGGCGAGATGCGGATCCAGCGGCGGGCATGGCCCCGGCCATGTCCCCACCACCGGTAGCCCCGCTGCCCCTCCCGCGCTCAGCTTTGGCTTCCGCACGGCGAGGCGCAGATCCGACACCTGCCCCACCGCACGAGCATAGCCAAGGCCACGACCCCTCCTTCCTCAGCTCCTGTCCCTGCCCTGGCTGCCCCTCTCCCTCTCTAGTGACCACCGTGGCCCCTCCCCTCTCCGGCGGCGGCCGTCTTCCTCCGCTCTGGCGATGGCTCTTGCCAATTCGGCCAGGTCACGGGTAGAGCACCTTGAGAGGGGTACCCGTACGAGACTGGATCAACTTTGAGAAGCTCTTGTCGACATTAACTGGTAGGACACTAGGTAATAACAAAGAAAAAGAGGTTAGGCGATAACAGAAAGAGTATGTCTAGCCAACAATTGATCAATCAAATTTTTGTCCATGCACTTACACTGAGTTATAGATATATTTACACCACCATATTACTATATTTACAATTATTTCTTCAGTGTAATTTATTGAACAGACTTATGTAATTTGGGAATAACACAAATATATACCAATTTTTCAAAAAAAATTACAAATTATTTTTATAGATTTCATACATCAGATAAATATATGTCAAATTGTTCGCAAATATCATCAAATTGGTCACAAATCATGCACAAATTTCAGAAAAAATACAAATTATCCCTTCCCTTCCCTTCCCTGGTCAGCCGCACACACCCGACGGTTGTCTAGAGACGAAGCGGGCGGCGGCGGTGCGGCTTCGGGGCGGGCGGGCGGGTGGCCTAGTGGCGGCGACGGAGGAGGAAGCCGGCCTAGGGGTGACCAGTTGGGGAGGCGGCGACAGAGGGAGTAGCCAGGAGGGCTGGCGACGGACGCACGGGGGCGGCGCTGTGCCGGGGGCCCGCAACGGATGGACGGCCTGGGGGCCGGCAGCGGAGGGAGGCGGTGCCTGGGGCCGGCAGCGGAACACACGGGAGCCAG